GCAATTTGGAATAAATAAGCACGAGTAAATTTTTTTTTAAAGACTAGAATCCAGCTAGTTTTGGATGTACATAATCGAGAGCTGTATACTCAATTTAGGCGCAATTATGAGCAAATCTTATATTCGGATGGAAATCAAACGCAGATCAGAACTGAGAGCCGACAAGAACAACATTTTATCAACGTAGTAGCTTTCATTCGGAGAATTCAGCTAAAAAGGGGCTCCGATTTGTAAGGCAAACTTCCTAACACCGAGAAAAAGCAAAAAAACCGCCGCTGAGTGCGTTCTATTTGACTTCGCATTGTGCTCACGCTGACAAATTTTTTCTGCATTAGCGCAGCAAACTTGTTTGGACAGTTATCTTCATTATTCAGGGTACTCCCTTACTAAATGTGATTTTATCAGTAAATGGACAATCCAAAGTACACAACTTCGTATCCAAACTGTAACGATGGATATCTAACACTCTAAAAAAGATTCACACAAACCTTGACTGTGAATTCCTATGCACGACTTTTGATGTATACTGAGTGATCAGTTCCGTAATACTGTCTTGGCAAGTGTACGTGATTTCTAGCTGTGGTGCTGTCGAATTAAACATCGAATTTGTTCGCCGTCTTAACCTCGCCCATTTAAAAATGATTTGATTACACAGGGGAAAAAAATGCTTGTGAAAAAAATGCATAGCGTGATCCAAAGATATCTAAATTATTTTGCAGAAAACAAAAGTATTTTTGCAAATTAAACTAAGAATTAGGAAATACCGTCTTGAAATAAATAAATGTTAATGAAATCCCTTGAGGATGTCAATTAGAATGCGGTTAATCAAGAAAATTTGACTTTTCTTTGAAGGCAACTTGTGTAAAAGAAATTACAAGAGCTACTAATAATTAAGGAAAAAAAGTGATTCCTTCGGACTGAACTGACCCCACAGCATTTGGACCTAGTTCAAAATCAACGGTCGGGTGCTCTAGATTACAGGTTTACAATAGAAAGGTCGAATCAAGAGCTTTACGAGGAATCTGCGTCACAGTTCACACACAAAAAAGGTGAATCACTGAGCAACACTTTCCTCAATCGCGAAAAAAGGGGTATGATTTCTGTGCAGCCCTGCCCTATCAACAAAGCCGTAGTACCCCCAAAAGAAATATATTGTTTTAGCCATTGTTTTCCGACGCCTGCTGGTTCATGCATCAAGAAGAATGATTCGCATCCCACAAAAACTAAAATCATTACAGTACCCCCCTTAAATCTTCTTAAAATGAAATTTTGTAGTCCTTTAGGTTGAAAGTGGCTTCACTGTGTGTGAAAATTAAATAAAAGAGTGATTGTAAAAGATGACTGAGTAACGTACGTTCGATCTTGCTTAAAATGGATATTTTTGTCCTGGCGCAACAAAATCCAGTTCATAATAAAACCTACGAATATCGATTGGTGGCGCAGCTCAAAGCTCTTTTTCTACAGTAAATCATTTCGTTCGATTAAATGATCCAGACTGAGGCGGAGTCAATCCATGGGACTTCCACTTAGCCAGCAGGATTCAAGGTTCTTACATGAAATCGAGGCGAGTGATCAGCCAGTCTGAGATGGCGCTCAAACCCCGAAATCGCACAGCATCCAGAAAGAAGCGACACGAATAGTATATATATATAAGTGAAAAAATAAAAAATTAAAATGAAATAAAAAAAATTGACATCAATCCTTTTATCTTGTGACAAACATCACCCGTGACAGAGAACACGTGACGGCCGTGACGGAGAATCACCTGTTGCCATGGTGTATGAACTTCATTACCGCACTGCAATTGTTCTCAAAATATGTCGTTTTCTGAGGCCTCTTTGATGAAATGCTCTTCATGAGGAATTAATTGAAGCATTACAATTCCACTTCACCCACCTGATGGGGAACTCCTAAAAACTTTCGGTGTGGTCGGGCTCCAGCTTCTTGAGGGAGCCCGGCCCTGACCGTGAAAAAAAGGAAGTTCTTTGGGGTAGGGTACAGATATAGAGTGTGCAGTTTATATGGACAAGATGGTGCTTCGATCGTCAAATTTTCTACACCTTTCAGACCCATTGTTCAGTAGTCGAGAGCCACTGAGTTCGTTTCACTCGTTGGAAGTCTAAACAGTTAAATGTCTCACAATGGGCAAAGTGTAAACAATTCTGAAGTTAAAAATATATTCCCACACCGTGAAAACCTATGTTCCTTATGCAGGTAGTTGCTGTCCCTCCTAGCAATTGTTTTCTCCCGTCAAACCTTTATCAGATAATTGGGTAAGGGATTACTTGGATCAATTTTTGCTGGGGATGTGCCGCTGTTCTCTCAGAACCCCGATCCCGATTTCCCCCCCGTGTCGGATAACCTGTTTGTCGTTTTCTGATGACCTTTAATCGTCTACTTCACGCCTCAGAGTAAGATACGATCTTCATTAAGTAAAAGAGTACCGTATATCTCACAGCTTACTTTAACCTCTTAACCAAATTCCACGTGACTGTCGAACAACTGATCAGGCGGTACATCTAATAAAACGTGTAAAAACCACGTGAAAATCGGAAAAAAGATCATTTTGGTGATCAAAGGGTTTGGAACAACCACTGAGTGATTGTCTGTTGTTATTTATGGACTTATTAAGCATTTTAACGTTTTACTTTCTTGGTTCTCCACCGAGACACCGGCGACGGCTTGAAGGTAAATCAATAATATTTGTAAAATCGGTTATAAAATTTTAAGAGTTACACGGTTAATTATGGTGACACTTAAGAAATTATAGCTTTCGATTCGGTGACCGTCGTGCGTTGGTAAGTGTGTTCATCGCAAATCGTCAACAAAACGATGATCGTAATCACGAGATTTAAAGGGTCTCAAACGCTAAGCAGTACATACACTACACTAATGGATTTTCGTCCCAGACGGTCTCTGTCTCTCTCAAAAAAATATTCACTTAAATGATTTAAATTTGTTTCGGGAAAAGCTAAAAAGAAACAAGAAAACATACAGAAAATGCCAACCAACATTTAAGGAGATAAATATAATATTTCGCGAGACAGTGCCAACCTTTCATCGCTGACGTGACCGTTGACTTCGGAAAAAAAATAATCAAACGAAAAAATAGGAAAGAAACTGAAAAAAATCCCTAGAATATATATCTGAAATTTATTGTAATATTTTAGAAGGTTGTTCAGATGCTTATTTAGTCTTTTTATGGTATTTTTTTCTTTGATTCTACGACGACTTTGATTTATCATGTAGCTCATGCAGCAAAGTAATCCCATAGCAAGTAAGCATATTTTCATGATAGTAATGAATATTTGAATTCAGTTTATCTTATATTATCGGAGAAATGATGATCTAACCCATACTTTTACAGACGGTTGTTTGACTCTGGGTACCGTGACATAACTCCACGCGACCTACTAAGGACTTTTTTTTTCAGACTCAAATTTACATGTTAACCTCGGTTGTTGTATCACCAAGGAAGAGAATTTGTTAGATACATTAAATCGGTACCGAATGCAATTTGCGTAAAACGATACACGGTAAAAAATGACGCAGTAATCATAATAAACTCGGAAAGAATAAAAATAGAAAAAAAATTATATAAAAATTCAAAAAAGCAATATTGTAAATGGTAATAACAATAATATAAAAAAGCAAGAAATAACGAAAATGATAATGATAAAGCCAATGATATTAAGAACACGGCCATTATTTGTCGCCGGGGGGAGGGGGAAGGGGGAAGGGGGAAGGGGGAAGGGGGAGGGGAGAAGGGTGGAAGGGGGAAGGGGGGAAGTGAAGAAGGACGGAAGGGGCTCCGGAGGATTTTGGTTGTTTCCGTACTAAAACTTCTTTGATCCCCCTTTAGTACTCTAATGACCCCCCTCGCTAACAGTCATTTTTTACAGTTCGCCCTTTAAACTTTATTATCGACGACTGATCCCCCTCCGCTTTCCTAAGAACCATTTGACCCCCCTCAAAATCCTTCGACCCCCCTGCCCCCTCCCCCTTGGGCAAAATATGATGAATAGTCCCTTAAAATAGATAAAGATTATGATGATATCAAAAACGATAATAATATTAATAATATAAATAATGATGGTAATAATAATAATAATGATAATGATAATGATAATAATGATAATGATAATAGTAATGAAACATTTTCTCAGATTTTCTCATATTTTCCTAATTTACTTTAAAGAAACGAACTAATCAGGGACAACTATCTAGGCCCCCTTCCCCCAAACCTTAAAAGTTACACATACACCCCCCCCCCCCAACAACAACAAAACAAAAACAAAAACAGAAAAAGCGAGAAGTCGACTGCTGAAGCGTCGAAGGCTTAATAAACCACTCGTCGCACCACTGTTCGTTTCTGCCGTTGCGCATCTTTATTTCCTCGAGCGCTCAAAAAGTCGCCAGCTGTAAAGGCTAGTGGGGACCCTTGTTACTTTTTGATGTAACAGCGTTTCGAATTTTCGTTATCTTTACTGATTCCGACTAATTGACCCCGAGACTCCACATGAGCGGTTGTGTCGGAGTAGTTGTGAAAAAGGGCCTTGACTCTTTGTTAACAAAGCTGACAGGAAGTATTTTGCGTATAAGATATGAGCATATAGGGCTTTTCCGCACTAGCAGAGGTGAGGAAAGGCTTATTACGTACACTGAAATTTCCGCGGTTTCGTTAAATTTCAATGTAGAGGAAGTGACGTTTGAGGAGGCAACTTCCGGCAACTTCCGTTGATTCGTTTCAAACAAAAATCTGTTTGTGAAAATAGAATTGTTAGACCGCATGATTTGGTAACTAGTGTAAAAAAGAAAAAAAGACATAAATTTGGTGGGAAATGTAGAGAAAAGGAGGATAAAAAGACAGAATATTAAAAAAATAACAGTGAAAATAAAAGAGCGGGAATTAGGAAGAGAAATTTTCCTGAATGGTTCTCAGAAGACACGAAATTTCCCGGTCAGCGGCTACTGTATGCAAATCATGTGATCATGTCAACTCAGAGGAAGTGAAGTCTGCAGTCCATATATATTGTTTTTATCACAAAGGACGAGCAATACTATGCGGGGAAACGCTATTGAAATCGCAACAAATGATAACTGGAAAGTTGATTGTCTGGTGCTCCCGCTAGAATGAGTGTCAAGGAAAAGGCCAAGGCGTTCGAAGGTACACTGTGTGAATTATTTCAGCGCAATGTTGTGTGTGATCGGTTGATTTAGAAATAACTGGAATATTTGGGGGTGTTCCATGATGAGTTTACTTTACTAGTCTCTTAAACACTCAGAGTTTATTTGAAAATGTTTAAGTTTATTCAAGATCAGAATACACCACGGCACAAACGTGGTTTTCGATGACAAGTTTAAGCGTGCGAAATGTATTGTTTTGGGCATTTCCGTCTTTGGAATCAACATGTCGTCGTATTGTCGAAGTGATGTAGAGATCGAGTTTCGTTGCAATAAATCTTTCCTTTGGAAGGATGTAGATTCTTATTCTCGACATATGTTCCTCTGTTTTGCAAAAGGACGTTCCTCTGTGATTGGAGAAAGCCCGCCACCGAAAAAGAAAAGCCGCGAAGAACGCATCGGTAAGACATGAGCTTAATGTACTCACTGTGATAACACGCTTAGAAGGGTCCATTCATAATAAGATCACCAAGAGCGGTTTCTGATCCTCTCAATTTTAGGCTGTTTAGTTTTATTTCAGCTACGATTTTTCGCCCATTTCCTGAATCGGTTTGATTTCCGCACAATTCGATTACGTATTCCTAGAAGGAAAAGGGATTGCCGGTCTCAAGAGATAGTCTGATTGACAGTTGAAACGATAAAGATTGATATCAAGTCCCACGGTCGCAAATCAATCGAGTTATCCAAATGCTTCACGACAATGTAATTGACCCTCATGCTCACAACATGTTGCGCTTTTACAGATAAACTCTTAAAACAATGTTTTGTTTATTTTTATCATAAACATCATGTTTAGATCAACTTGAGTTTACTCCATGAAATATGACAGAAGCCCAACAATGCATAATGAGATGTGTCTATTGAAGCTTCTTTGTAGAAAGACATCTGTTATGCTAGCAGGTGCAATGACCATGTCATTGTCAGTAATATTCTGAAGCTTTACAGGCATGGAGTGTCTATTTGTCTCAAAACTGTTGAAATTTTTTATTAAAAAAAACATTACTATGTATGGTATGATGAGTTAGTGTGTAATATTCATCAAGCAAGCCTCTCTTGAAGGCTTCATTGGCAAATTTTATTTCATTGGTGTTAAATGATAAAAAAAATAATAAAAACTAAAATGAAGACTTTACTAACACAACTTTTTTAAAGAATGTGTGGTCACAATTCAAGTCACTACTAAATGTGATGTAATCTTTTCAAGGCTGTTCACTTCCTAAAAAACTTTCACACCCAAGATCTCATAAGTAATTCTTCTTACTTTCTACCATACAGTTCTCATGTTAGTGTTTGATATTTTTCTTTATTCCCATTACCTACCTGCTTGATATTGTATTGATGATGTAAGGAGAAATTCTGTCTTGGTCACTCATGGGAATTAAAGGAGCAATAGGAGATTGTTTTGTTCTTGTACATTGGACATGATTTTGGCATGGGATTTTGTATGCCATTAAAAGTCGTGAACCCTCTTGTGTTTTTGAATTTTTTAATGTCTGTCTGTGGAGGTGTATGTTGGGGTAGATTTGACTTTTAAAAACTTTTAATCCCTTAAAAATTGCTCACATCTTATTTCTTCGTGTAATTTCACTTCTGAATCTAACCTTAGGGTCACAAGAATAGAGAAATTTATCTCCAACTAAAAAGTTCATGATTGTTAACTCTTTAAATCCCAGATCAAATTTGTAATTCTCTTTACTGTCAACCATACAATTCTTGTGATGTTAGTTCAGAGAATTTAGTATTAGATCAACAAGTTATCCCCATATTGATATTTTTCTTTATTCTCATCACTTGTCTGCTTGATATTGTATTGATATTGTAAGGAGAAATTCTGTCTTGGTCACTCATAGGGGTTTTAAGGGTTAAACAAGTTCTCCTTGTTAGTAACATTGGAAATGTCTATAGAGCAGTGTGCAGAATATGCACACTGAAAGAAAAAGTTTGTTTGATAATCTGGACAAGCTTAACTCTAACACAAGCATCTCCAAAAGGGAACATTTTTTTCAGTGCAGTTGTTTCATAGTTACAGGACAATAGGCCATTTTATAGTTGTGTACTTAGTTGTCAAGCCTTTGATTTGGAGTGAGGCTGAAGGTGACCTTGTTGTGATAGAGACCTGTATCTAGTTAGCATGATAACAAAGTAATTTGCATTTGAAAAGCAGCAAGGTTTGTATCATCACAAGGTCACCCTTAGCCTCATTCCTGTTCAAAGGCTTGGCAACCAAGCACACAACTGTAAAATGGACTATTAAGTGGAATTTAATAGTTCTTTATTTACATGGCTTGTATCTAAAAATTGTTTTTGTTTCTCAATGGTTTTTCACAGGTGGCAGTGGCAACGACGACCTGGAAAGGTGAGTTCAAGTAGATTACAACTTGCAAATGGTCGCCTTGAATGAGGGTCTTTTCCTATTATCCTTTGTTGAATTCTGCAAGATATGAAAAGTGAACTGTTCACAGGGCTGTGCTCCAAGAAAAAAATTAAAGGGAGCCCATTTCTCTGAAATTGTGAAATCCAGGGTGCCAAGCACATGCTTTTTATGAAAAAACTAATATTTTCCGAGTTGCCCTAGAGTGAATACAGGTGTGAGGGACTACCAGATGCCGCAAGAGCACAGCCCTGTGTTCTGGTCCATAGGAACAGGTTTGTTAGCATGAGCATGGTCATAGGAGTCTGAGGAGTGTTCTATGAGAGTCTCCTCTGACTCATATGTGCCCAAAAGGGAGTTGAGGAAACTCTCTTTTGTTGCTAGAAGCTCTATAATATTTGCTGGAATCAAACAGTCATTTGCTCTCAGTAAAATCACCACAACTCTAATTACAAGCTGCTCAGTGTAATATCCAAGATTTCACCATCAAAAATGTCACTTTAATTACATTCCTCCTTTTTATGCAGAGAATCATCATCTGAAACTCCTGAACCACCACCAAGAAAATCCAAAAAGAATGGCAAAATAAAATCATCTGAAGAATACAGTCCAAGTTTAGAAAGAAAAGAAAATATTCCAACAAGTGTCAAGGAGACCAAGGGGCGTCAAAAACCCCCAAGACCTCCTCCACCCCCAAGGGGAAGTTCTTTGGGACGTAAGAGTGAATTGTTGTCAAATTTGCGATTACAGTCATCAGGTGAGAAAAAGAAAAAACCTCCTGTCCCTCCAAAACCCAAGAATCACATTCCTAAGAAAGCTTATGTGAAAAGGAACATTAGTGTCAAAAGTGTGAAAAAAATTGTTAGTCAGCCAGCAAAGGATGGATCTGTTTTGGTGCCAAAGTCTCCCACAAACAGTGCACACGAATCACAGTTTTTCGCCCCGCTAGATAAAGACACTTCTAAGGTGGCATCATCTGAAAATCACGAGTCAAAAAGATCTTCACAGTTTTTTGTCTCTTTGGAAGAACAAACTTCTAGTAAAGGCAGCCTAAATACTAAGGAGTTAGACAATTCAAAAGGACATATTGTGTTTGAGCATGCTTCAGAAGATAGTGAATTCAGTAATGTTGAAAATGGCTTTGTGGGTAGTAATGGCATTCATGAGAATGGGGTAGCTTCTAGGCGTCTTGTTATTCAACCTGGGAACATAAATTTTGAAAAGGACATGGCAGATCCTCTGGAAGGTCTTGAAATAACAGTTGATGATATTAGTGAGGATGATGACATTTCTTCAATGCCACCTGAGGGAAAGAATGAAGTTGGGGAATTTTCTGAGCCTATGGAGGTCAGTGTGGATGATGCTTCAAATGACGGAGTTTGCAATGAATTTCAACCAGTTGATGGTGTAGAAGAACCAGAAGATAAAGTTCATATATTATACAGTGTTGAGCTTGAGGAAGAATGTTCTGTCACTGTGATAGAAAATGATACGAGGAGTGATGAAAAAGGAACAAAAATGCTGGAAGTACAAGGAGGGATTAGAGCAGAAAACAATGAAGTTATAGAAGTCGGTAAAGGTGAATCAATTGCCAGCAACCTTCTTTCAGAAAATTTGGTTGAGGAGAGTGCTTCACTAACCTCTGATGAGGTAGAAAAAGACAAAATGGAAGAAGAAATTAGTGTGGTTAATTTTTTCAATCATCAAGAGGAAATGGCGTCTAATTTTGAAGCTGAAGAGCGAGTGGACAGTGTTTTGGAAAATCTAAGTGAAGATTCAGAAGAAATTGTTATGAAGGAAGATTCTCCAGTTGATGAAGTACAAGAACTGTCAGTTAACCAGAATGTTAAGTGTGAAACTGAATTAGAGAGTTCACAGATTTGTGTAGATTCAACAGGACAAAACAAAGTTGAAAACGTAACTGATAAGAGCCATGAAGCAGCTATGGAAGAATCACAGCAAAATGAATCTCAACAAAATGGCGAGGTGATTATGGCTGAACCGATAAGAGAAGGTACTTTGTTATCAGTTACTGATCGTGTCATTTTCAAGGAAATTTCACATGTGGATGAAGATAAAAACAATTCTGAGGAACCTGCTGAAGAAAAGTTAGAAGATGTTAGGAATGAAGATCACTCAGGGTTTAAGGGTCAACATGAAAATGAAGGATTTATGGAGAAAAATGAACTTGAGTTTGTTTCAACTAAACCAGAGGAATTGGAATCCTGCCAAGACATGGCAGTAGAATTGGACAAAACTGAACAATTTGGAGAACAGTTGCTTGAGAATTCAATTCCTGAAAATTTTCATCAAGAAGAGAGAAAAGGTGGCCAGATGGAATTTGTGTGTACTAGTGGCAATGAGGAGGAACCTAAAGTAGAAGAAGATGTATCAAGTTTAGAAAACACTGAGGGTTTGATACATAAGGAGAGGGATGATCAGGATGAAAGCACCGTCATTCCTGATTCTATAGAAGATGATCTAGATACTGTGTCATCTGAATTTGTTAATGTGGAGCAAGCTGCTTCACAGGAAAATGTTGAGGCTGTGCTATTTGAGATGAAGGAAGATCAGGATAAAAGCACTGTCAATGCCATCCCTAATTTGAAAGAAGATATAGAGACTGCTTCATCTGAATTTGTCGATGTGGAGCAACCTCCTTCAAAGGCCAACAAGGAAGTTGTGCAAGTTGAAGTAGAGGAGGTTGAGAGTTCATGCATTGTTAATGCCATCTCTGTTTCTACAGAAGAAGATCTAGAAACTGCTCCATCTGAATTTGTTGATGTGGAGCAACCTCCTTCACAGGCCAACAAAAAGGTAATGCAAGGTGAAGTAGAAGAGGGTGATAATGTGAGCATTGTGAATACCATCTCTATTTCTAGAGAAGAAGATCTAGAAACTGCTTCATCTGAATTTGTTGATGTGGAACAACCTCCTTCACAGGCCATCAAAGAGGTTGTGCAAGGTGAAGTAAAGGAGGGTGAGAGTCCATGCATTGTGAATACCATCTCTATTTCTAGAGAAGAAGATCTAGAAACTGCTTCATCTGAATTTGTTGATGTGAAGCAACCTCCTTCACAGGCCAATAAAGAGATTGTGCAAGTTGAAGTAGAAGAGGGTGAGAATGTGTGCATTGTGAATGCCATCCCTATTTCTACAGCGGAAGATCCAGAAACTGCTTCATCTGAATTTGTCAATGTGGAGCAACCACCAACACAGGAAAATGTAGATGGCGACAATTCACTTTCTCCAGAGTCTCAGCCAGTTCCCCCAGAGAGACGAAGTCGCAAGGCTAAGAAACAAAAGCATGTTTATGAAAATATTGCTGCAACTTCAAGACAACTTGAGCAGATTAAAATTAAGGGAGACTCCCTGAGAAAAACTCAGTCCTTCAGTAAATATGAAACAGCTTCTCTCTCAATATCACGCCCTGTTCAGCGTGTGTCTGATGATGAGGTTATTTACAGAGTTCCTGCTAAGGTCATTCCAGTTGAAAGTTTTGGAACTGATGAATCCGAGTACAGTGTTCCACTTCCAATTTCATCTCGAGCACGCAGTGTCACTATGCAAGATGAGTATGCAGTGCCCAAGTCAATCATAGTAAAAGCATGTGCAGTAACAGATAATCATGGTGCTGATGACAGAGAAATATATTCTGTTCCTGGTCAAGTAACACCTGTACCTGTGGTTGAAAAATTCTCTGATTCTTCAAGTAGACTTCCCTCTCAGGCAGTTCCACAGGAGAATGATAGTGAATATGCTGTGCCTGTTCAGGCAAAGCCAGTGATGTCAGCTCCTGTGTCAGCCACTCCACCTCCAAAACCCCCGAGAACAAGCTTGTTAAAAGAAGAGTTTAATGTCTTTGCAAGTGTGGAGGAGACATCCAGTTCAGCAAGCACAGAGACAGAAACAAGGCAATCACCAAAACCAGTCCCAAGGACAAGAGAGCTGAAGAATTCACCGACTCCTGTACCAAGGAAGAGCTCAAAGACTGCTGCATCATCAGAATCATCAACAACCCACAGCAGTGAAAACTCTCCAAGTCCTGTACCAAGGAAGAACTCCAAGCTTGTCATGTCAACAGACTCATCTTCAACTAATAGTGGTGATAACTCACCAACTCCTGTACCAAGGAAAAGCTTGAAAATTGCTTCATCAACAGAGTCTACTTCAACTCAAAGTAGCGAGTCTCCGGTTCCTGTACCTCGTACTCGTCTGAATGCTCTTCAGCCTGAACCTTCCATCTCAAATGAATCTTCATCAGAGCTCTCTACATTGTCATCTTCTGACATCTCTACGGTGGAGACCACGGAGGAGGAACAAACCTTGAAACGCAAACCTCCACCACGCCCACCTCCTCCAAGCAGCCGCACAAGCATCATAAACAATGAAAATGAAGCCCCTCCCCTGACACCTGGGCCGTTTGCAAACGAGGCTGATTCTGATACGGATTCTGATGTTGGAGAAGAGGCATCATCAAAGGTAATTATTAAATAAATCCTTTACATCCTAACATTGATATCGATATTCTCCATACCCCCTCTTTGCATTTTTTGGTTGGTGATCGTCTCCTTTATTCTCACAATCTTAATGAATAATTCAAATGTGATATCGCATGGAGAAATTAGATGCTGGTCACTCTTTTGACTATTTTAAGAGAGACCAGCATCTAATTTCTCCTCAAATTTATTTACCCTAATATTTATAGCATCATTGCTATCTTATCTTTTGTTTAATGTTTATAATTACCATGATTACTTCTGTAGGGTCCACCAAAGTCAAAGACATACTACATTGCACATGAAATTCTCTCAACTGAGCAGACATTTGTGGATGCTTTAAAACTTGTCTTTGAGGTAAAGGAAAAAAGAAAGAGGGTGATTATTTTGATCAGTATTGGTATCTGAGGAATTGCATGGGCATGGGCACATACCCCTCCCCTAACCCAACATTTACTCTAACTTGGATAAGGGGAGGGGTAGGTGTGCAGTTTCTCAGATACTGGCATTGATCTAATAATTCTAAGCATGCATGGTAACATTTTTTGTTGCAGGAAAGCTGGTGCCATGTTTTTTGCAGCTATGTATAATGTAAAGTAGGTGAAACTGGAGACAATAACCCTGGCCAGCAGCTTGGCTAAAACTGCCAATGGCAACAAAAATACTATCACAGAAGGAGTGGGGGGGGGTGGGGAAGTGAATTGAGCCTCTCAAGCTGCTATGCATTTCCTTGTGTTAAATAGTCCATTTTACAGTTGTGTGCTTGGTTGCCAAGCCTTTGAACAGGAATGAGGCCGAGGGTGACCTTGTGATGATACAAACCTTGCTGCTTTTCAAATGCAAATTACTTTGTTATCATGCTAACTAGATACAGGTCTCTATGCATTTCTTTGTGTTAAATTAGTTATGAGAATTTGGTGATAGATATAGATCAAGGAAATGTCTTATACCTGATAGGTCTGACTATTCTCATTACCTGTTTGCTGGATAATGTGTGGATATTACAGGGAGAAACTACATGTTAATCACTTTGGGGAGTAAAGAGTATTGACTGTCAATAAATATACAGACATCTCCATGGCACTGTTTCCACAAATAGTCCATTGTACTTTACATTAGAATGCACTTTACACATTTGTTAGATCATTAGGAATTTGACTTCTTTTTTTCCAACTCTGTGTAGGAATGTTATGGAACAATAAAGCAAGCCAATGTTGTAGCTGATAGCACTTTGGGTGACATCTTTTGTGACCTAGAGAATATTTATTTGCTGGATTCTAGATTCCTCCAAGAACTAGAGGAACGAATGAAAACATGGTAAATATGAATTTCGAACATACAAATATAATTAATTTTAATCAAAGAAATTGTTATCCATTTGGTGGCGAGCATGGGAGCAGGGAAAAAAGTGAGCTGTGTGAGGAAGTAAACCTCAGACCCTTTGTGTTTTGCTCTACTACAGTTTTGATTCCTCATAGGAAACTCAAGTTTTTCTACCAATCACTTGGGAATAAAATAAAAATATTTTTCCTCATTCAACAACATGCAGGAGGAGGGTGGGGGGGTTATGTTGTATGTTGTCTATTTCCTTACTCTGGTCTCCCTTTAGAGTGAATTTTTCCATGTTCTCTTAATAGGACTGTGTAAAAGTTATTTTCCAGGACTTGGGTTACTTGAAGGGTGGATACTCCTATCCACTGGATAAATCTCTACTCCTTGGATAGTACACTAAGTTTTATTAATGCATTTCTGCTGGACAATGATTTATATGTGGATAGATTTTTCTGCCCTTTGAACAACTGGGCTTGACCTACCCCTCCCTGAATGCTACTTTAGTTACACTTCCTCTCCTCCCCTCTATCTCAGCTTGAAGAGAAACAGAACATTGTTATTTGCAAGAAAAAATGTACAACTCATCACAAACAATGGGTTTAAAAGATGGAATTCCTCTCTGTCATCCTTTACCAAAAATTTACTTTTGCATCTTGTTTCCTTCAGGGAAGAACACGAGAGGATTGGTGATATTATCAAGAAATACAGCCACTTCTTAAAGGTAACATAATGATTATTGATGTTAACATTGTTATCAATAGTTATTAATGCACTAATAAATCTTTTAATGTAAAAATGGCTGAGAAATGCATGTCTGTTTTGTAATAAACCTTTCATTTAACCCTTTAACTCCCATGAGTGACCAAGACTGAATTTCTCCTTACAATATCAATACGATATTAACCAGATAAGTGATGAGAATAGAGAAAAACGTCAATTTGGGGATAACTAGTTGATCCAATACTAAATTCTCTGAATTAGCATTATAAGAATTGTATTGTTGACTGTAAGGAGAATTACAAATTTGATCTGGGAGTTAAAGGGCAAACTTCAATTTGCAACATTGAAATTTTAATAATTGTAATCGTTGAATGTCATCTTGTTTTGGTTTCAATTCCATTTCCACGATTGAGAAACTTTTTGAATTTTTTTTATTAAAGTTTGATGGGTTTATATTTCTTGTTCGACAGATGTACACTCAGTTTGTGAATGGCTACGACAAAGCTATTGGTGTGTTTCAAGACACTATGAAAGAAAATTCAGAGTTTGCAGACATGGTTGCTAAATTTCAGGTAGGACATAATATGGAGAATATTTATTAAAAGCAAAACTCTGTATCGTAACCAAAATTTTGTGCATCTGTTGATGTACATACTGACTCTATCATTTCTTACTACTTGAGAAATGCTGTTTTTCTAACCCCAAAATGAAATTTTGGACAACATCATCAAACTAAAGTGTGAGAGATTATTTGTTATCAGACAAAAAATAGTAGAGTTTACAGATCAACGTCAGTATGTCAGCAACTGCACATCTACCCCTCCCTTAATCTAGCATTAACCCTGACATGTTATCAGTTGAATAAAGGTGGTAAGTTTCTAAAAAAACTGTGGTGCTTGTCAGTGGGAGAGTATAACAGGGTAATTTGGACTGAGTTGATAATTGGCCACCGTAAAGAGTTTCAAAGCTGACATTTCGGGCATTACCCCTTCATCAGGGCAAATTTAATTGCTCAGATATACAGCAAAATGCACAGAAAGCCCAATCTGGTGATGAGAAAAAGGCTTCTAAATACTGCAATGTAATTCACCCATTGTTGAATGACAGCTGTCCAAAATGTCAAAGGTTGAAAAATCTTTGGTGTAGTATTGCGAGGGTGGCACCCAGTTATTGGTATGGTGTACCTCTACACTTAAATCAATCTCAGATCACATAGGTAATTCTCCTAACTGTCTGCCATACAATTCTTATAAAGTTAGTTCAGAGAATTTAGTATTGGATCAACTAAGTATCCCCAAATTGATATTTTCTTTATTCTCATCACTTGTCTGGTTGATATTGTACTGATAATGTAAGGAGAAATTCTGTCTTGGTCACCAGTAGGACTTAAGGGTTAAAGTGAGTGTATTTTTTTTTGTCAGCAGGTGTCAGATGGCCACCTTAAATGTTGAATGGAACAACCAGTTTTTTTTTTTTTTGTTGAGTTGAATAAAAAATAAATCCTATAAAGGGGTAACACTTGAAATGTCAGTTCTAGAAACTCCTTATGGTGGCCAATTTTTATTTATCAACTTGGTTGATATAACCAAATTGTTTTGTAACACCTCCACAGTGATGTAGCATCAAAGTTTTTTTAGAAACTTACATCTTACATTCTGATATAGTTGATACCTTTTTTGTTAAGTTCAAGGTATTGACAAAGAATTTTAACTATGGTCAAGACCATATGATGTTGAAAAAATATTCACATGTTCTAGAGAAAGTTTTATAAAAAGTTCAGTTAACAGAAGTGATGAGTGGAAAAGCAGAAAGTTGATAACTGCATCATATCGACTCATGTACAATGTAGATAGAACAACAAAGAATCAGAGGTGAAAATATAACACATTGATCTGAAGAATTATTGTAACTTTTGTTTTCTGTTTACAGGCAAGTGAACGTTGTCATGGAATGGCATTGTCATCTTATATGCTGAAACCTGTACAGCGCATACCTAGCTACAGACTTCTTCTTATTGGTGAGTTAAATTTTCTGTTGTTAAGAGCGATGATCAAATTTTTTTTTTTGCTTGAATATTTTATGATGGTTTCTTTTTCCCAGACTATCTCAAGCATTTGCCTAAGGACTCAGAGGAATCAAAGGACACAGAAGGTAATTTAAAGGATTTCTCTCAATCATACATAATTGTATTTTGTATTTTATTTAACTGTATAATAATGTACATGAAAAGATTATATGCTTCCTATTGACTGAAAACAAGTGCATTCTCATTTCATTCTCACATTTTTTGTTTTTTAAAGTTGGGTGGAAAAGAGGCATGCATTTAACTTTAGATAGGATATTTACTTCTCCCTCTGTTTTACAAGGGAAAACTAGACAATTTGGAAGGAGAATCTTTCTGCTGATCAGAAGTCACTGAAAGGATTTTTCAATGCACCCCTTGAAATATTATCAAATTGCAAATTGCTACACAAAACAACACCTCTTTTTGATTTTTCAATGCACAAAATAGCACCTAATGATATGCACTGTTATGAATAACATTTGATCATAATTTGTTGGCTCTTTTCTTCTTATCAGCTGCCCTTAAGATTGTGTCAGAGGTTGCGACACACATCAATGAGTCCATGAAGAAAATGGTGGGTTGGAATTGTACTGTTATCATAAGTGTGAAAAAATTCCTCCCTTCTTCTAAAGATAAATTGCATTAGAGATAACAGGACTTTTTTCATGCCACAAAAAGTGCTGAGTGTTTCACTGATTTTCTCACCACACTTTGACATCTGTGATCTTTTACTGAAGAGACCCATGACAACATGGAATGGATTTGTTTTATAAAAAAAGGCAAAATGCTGTTAATGGTGAAGTCATTCATGCATCTGTCCACAGTCCATAAGATTATAAATAAGAATCAGTCAAAATGCATAATGTAGTTTAGCTTATTATGTGAACAATTATTTAAATTTGTAAAACAGGCAATATAGAGCACAAAGTAAATACTGTCATTGTTATTGTTTAACAGGAGAGCTTTGAGCAGATGCTTAAGGTTCAGAGGAGTCTTGTGGGACACCCAGAGATTGTCAAAGCTGGACGAGTATGTACCAACAGTTGTGTGTTTATGTGCATTTAACGTGAGCTTCATCATTTTCAGGGGCAGACTGATGAATTCCAAATAAGGAGTTCAAACTTTGATTTGGAAAACACAGAATTTTTTTGTCTGAACTAACCTATGCCAACCCACCCCACCCCCACCCCCACCCCCTACTTCACTTTCTGTTAACCCTTTAACTTCCAAGATCTGATAGTTAATTCTCTCCTCTAAATGCTACACATTTCCTTGTAAAATGGTTGCAAGAATTTGGTTAATCACTTCTGGGAGTTAAAGGGTTAAACATCTTTTCGTTATCTAAAAAATAATTCAGTTGAGTAATAATTAGTAATGCACCAACTTTTTGTTACAAAGCCTGCAGGTCTGATAAGGAAAGGAAGGGGGGGGATTCTGTTCCAATTGATAACAACCTTTTTCGTAATGTAGTTCTTACACGTTTATTTTTTATATTTCTTTTATAGGACTTTATCAGAGAAGGGACTTTGATGAAATTGTGTCGGAAAGACATGCAAGAGAGAATGTTTTTCCTGGTTTGTAAATAACTCTTAATTTATTAATTCTAGAAAAGATCAATTTTGCTTTTTTGTCCTTTTTCGATGTTCATAATAACTTAGTGATTCAAATGTTGACCTTGGTGCACTGTTAGTGTTTATTCTGAGGAAATCACGTTTCTCTGTAGAGGTCAAAATTAAAGATTATTAATATTTATTTGTTTCTTTTTTTCAGCTGACAGATGTTTTGTTGTACACAACCCCAGTAGGCGGTAATCAGTACAAGCTCAATAAAACACTCCCACTGTTGGGAATGCAGGTAAGAGTAGGACTGGTACTGACTAGGAGATTGTCTTTTGCCTTTAACCATAGATGTTTTTAATAACATAAGAAAGCGCAGCATAGGAACAATGCTTTCTTACAGATATATGTGTCATTATTTTATTTTTCAGGTGACTGTTCCAGATTCTCCAGATTTTGTAAATGAATTTAGTATCATAAGCACCACAAGATCATTTACCCTCACAGCGAGGTTAGTTCTGCACGTTGTTAACCCATTTACACCCAAACATCAGTATGCATATTCTCCTAATACATCTCCTAAGGTGCTGACAAAGAGAATTTGTTTAACAATCAAGAGTTTCTTTAGTTGGTGATCATTTACTTTATTCTTGTAACCTTAATGTTTAATTTAGGGTTGTTATTGTAAGGAGAATTTAGTTAAGAGCCCTTTGAATTTTTCATTCATTTAATTTCAGGTAAACTGTTCGAGGGCAGGCATTTTTTCATGGTGCACTTTTGACTCCTGTCCTTAAGTTGTTAGTGTAAATACATGTAGATACGTTTAACGCCACAAAATGAATGCGCATTTAATATATTTGCCAGATAGAAGTGTATTTAGATGTAAATACGTGTAGCTGTTATTCGACTTAAAGTGAATAATTAATACAAATATCTGAGTACAAAATGTAACAACAACAACAACAACGACAAAAATTATGTGAAAAAGAAACAAACTTACAATTTGTGGCGTAACCAGGTCAGACAGCAAAACTCTTAAATAAGAGAAACACGTCGCGAGAAAAAACTAACGAAGCGACTGACTTGGTTGAAATTGACTAGCAGTGATACTTATCTATTGAAAACAACGCGCATACTGGCAATAAATATACAGCTACCGGCGTTACGTAATTCCTACGTAACCTCACGCAAAAACGCCAATTTAATTGAATAGTAACGGAACATCACAGTACTGTCAGTAGTAGTACAGTTGGAAGAAAAACAATATAAAATTATTTCGCAGTTGTTTGACCATAAATAAAAATGCTAATTCTAGTTGTTACCGGCAGCCTTGAAGTTAGTTTTTGTGTTGTGGGAATTTTTTGTATGTGCAAAATTGCATAATTAATACGTTCTACTTTTTATTAAAACAGCACTCCAGAAGAAAGAGATCAGTGGGTCGAGGTAGGTAGTACTGCCAAAAGTCGCAACTTATGAATAAAAGATATTTTGCCCTTGATCTTATGTCCTTAACACTTGTTCCAAGGATGATAATATGAGGAAAATTAGAAGCCAGTCACTCCTTGGGGTTAACCCTTTAACGCGATCCCATGAGTGACCAAGACAGAATTTCTCCTTACAACATTAAAACAATATCAAGAAGAGAAATGACGAGAATAAAGAAATCAGGAGATTATTAGTTGACAGACCAAATTCTCCAAACCAATATCACAAGAATTATATGGCAGACAGCAAGGAGAATTATTAATGAGATCTTGGCAGTTGAACGGTTGAAGGGGTAACCTCTTGCACCTGTGCGACTCAGAGTCCTATTCAGACTTAACATTAAGTATCAAGCTTAGAGCTCTTTTCAACAATACACAGTACACACATTAACAAGTTAGATATTGAAGGTGATGATCATTAACCAACTTTGTAACTTCATTTTCAGACTTTGAATAACGCCATAGACGTTGTCACCAAAAGGAAAATCACATTTTTTAACAAGACAAGAGATGCAACAGGACTGGTAAAAATAAATTGTTCTTTTACGGCTGCTTTACTGAAAATGTATTTGGAATTCTGCACTTTAATTAATTCAATTGGTTAAAAAAGCTGAGTTAAATTAAGAAACCTCTCCCCGCCCTTACGCTGTCTTTTCGGATCTCATATTTCCAGGACTGAAGTTGTGAAATGCAACAAAAAAAGAGTTAACTTCAAACGATTTCGTTCGACATTGCGATTCATTTTTTTTCTTTGTTAGAGTAAACCTCTTGAATAGTGCCCATCTCTCAGTTGAATTTCCCAACTCTCGAATGTCTCCAAGTCGAGGCTGCCCAATCCCCCCCCCTTCCCTCTCGCTTGATTTTACCCTGAATATTCCAAATTTTGGGTTGCCTCTTCGAGTGCTGACTTCCCTATCGCTGTCGTTTACCCCTGGGGTAACTCAAACCCCCTCGGTATCTCAGACGTTTTTCGTTGGCTTAAGAATTTTTTTGACGAGGGGTCTTTTCTCCATCTTTCCACTTACATTTGCGAGGCTTTGTGATCTCATAATTTTTACAATCTGAATCCGTTTAATGTTCTCGTTATTGTGAAGGGAGTGCAAGAGAGGGACGAAGAGGTCATGAAACTCGGAGAGAAAGCCCCTGTGTGGATTCCGGATCACCGTGTTACAATGTGCATGAGCTGTACGTCTCCATTTACTCTCACCAACAGGAGGCATCACTGCAGAGCTTGTGGAAACGTAAGTACAGCGTGCTGAAAATTCAGTTTCATATCGTTCAATCTCGAACTCAAGATTCCATGGATTGTATTTTGTCAATGACCTCCTCACCCTCTTCCCCACAAAAACTGTGCGCGGTAGTTTTGCGTAGTTAAGGACAGGTTAGGCTCTAAAAAGACACTTCATGTTTTGTGTATGTTAAGTTTTTTACGCTTAATTCTTTAACTATTTACACCTTAACATCAGTATGCATATTCTTCCTACTGTCCTCCGTACATTTCCTTACGTGCTAGCAAGGAGAATTTATCAAGAGCTTCTTTCGTAGGTGATCATTTCCTTTATGGTCTTGACCGTGCTGTGCAATTCAGAGGTGATATTGTAAGGAGAAATTAGATGCTGGTTACTCTAAGAGGTCAAAGAGTTAAAATTGCTTTTTTTCTGAGTTAGAAACGCACCTGAGCGATAAAAAGAAAACCAACAAGAAAGCGGCAAACTAGTCGAAGATGGGAAATATTAACTCGGATTTTTGAGTGCGTGACGGTTCATTTGAAATTTAGGACTGAGAAGAGGACGTCGTCTATTTATTGTTTCAGGTTGTTTGTGGGGCTTGTTCGGATAGTACCGCTCCACTGGCATACTTGGAGTACAACCAGGCTAGGGTTTGCGACAAGTGCTATGACCTGCTTTTAAAAGGTGAGCGCAAGAAATGTTTTTAAGAATAATTCCTTCCCTATACGGCAGCCATTTTATTTCCCTTATTGAGCACCCCTTTTCAACAACTGATTTTTTTCAAATTGGCTCAGTGCGATACTGATAAAGAGGCTCGTCAACTTTCACGATGTAACGAAAAGAAAAAAATAATGACCTCGCGAGAATTGCAGTTTCGAGCAATTTTCCATTGATTGTCGAAAGTAATTTGGGATTGCATTGGTTTTACTTTCTGACTCCCTGTGATTGGCTGTGAAAACTGGCGCCATCCTCTCAACCAATCAGATGCAAAACGAAAAACAATCACGACTTGGTCGCCCGCGTTTTTCCCGCGCTTTAGGCAGTTTAGTTGTTCTTACTTTGACTTCTCATTGGCTCTTCAAGGTATTTCCCTTTCTTCTGATTGGCCGTTGTGATTACGTTAGTTTTGGTTTTGCGACACCCAATCCAAAAGCACTCTAATTGTGTCTAACACGCGTTATAGTGAAATCCAATGCAAAACACACGGGATAACAATTTACTCTGTGCAGGACAGCTTACAACGCCAATTCCTCCTTTCCAGATTTCCACACCGTTGAAATGAAACCAGTAGAGGAAGAATCGCCTACGTCTACGCTTCCCCCGTTGCTTCAAGAGGCAGAAGACGCAGAGAAGCTGCTACGAAAACCGACCAAGTTTGAAATGATGCGACGATTTAAGAGTAGAAAAACAAAAAGAAAATCGACAATAATGCATCCGTCGCACTTAACAGAGGTCAGTGAATGTCTAAAGTACTCTGGGATTGCTTTGGTTTTAATTTGTTTACTTTGCTCTTTGATTGGTGGAGAAAAATGCTTTCTCAACCAATCAGATGCAAGACTAGAATTGCGCACGACCTTGTCAATCTTTTTCCCGTGCTTGATACAAGGATTTTTTATTTGACATCTGAAATATTTTGTCTCTCAATAGGTCGTCGCTAATCAGGAAGGAAGTCAAATGAGTGGCTACTTAAAATACAAGAAAGGAAAATTTGGATGGAAGAAGTCGTGGTTTGTGCTGAAGGACAATGTTTTGTATTCGTACAAAGCCAGCTCAGTAAGTTAAAGATGTTAACGAAGTTTTGAAACCACAAAAAGTTACCGTTTGTTTACATCTAAAAATATGAAATCTCGTTTTCAGTCAGTATTATGAGCGAAAACAAACAATTAAAACATAAACAAGCCAAAAAAGAAAAAAGGAAAAAAGTGTTCATCTCGAAAGTGGAAAAAAGCGGGAAACGAGACGCAAGTTGGTAGCGCGGGAAATCTGTGGTACGCGTCTAAGGCAGGGAATGTGAGAAATATAAGATGGAGGAAATGTGAAAAAAACCTCAAGACTAAAACGCAGATAGGAGAAATAATTGAATACCCAAGAGAGGAAAGGATGAATTGTTTGGATAGTTGCTGGCTGTTGATGAACTTGTTTGTGTGATTACCGTGTCTAACTACTGAGTTTGGTTTTTCTGATCAATTTGAAATTGTAGGATGTTGTGGCGCTGGAAAGTCAACCAGTCTTGAGTTATGAAATTGAAGATCTTGGCAAGGTGCGTTTACTTATCTTAATTAAGTATTTTGCGACTTTATGAAAATTTAGTAGAATCAGACATTGTCTTTTAAGCTATTGAGATAATTTAGAAAGATATAAATCATTGTACTGGGATATGGAAACTGAAAGTCAAGTGAATTTCAATGAAAATTATTGGTGAACTCGAGTGAAGAAGGGCGGGAAAACTGCTAGGGGTCAAGGTATGACTGACACAGCACTCGTCTGTGATTGGCTAAATAGAAGTGCACTAAGCTGCGATTGGCTTGCAGTTATAAACCAATCAGAGGGGTGATTTAACGCCGAGTTGAAACTAATAAGCTGTTAGGGCAAAGTTCAATAACCTTGAGTGTCGAAAGTAATCCGGATGTTCTGGTTTTGCTTCACTTTGCCCTATGATTGGTCCAAACAACCCGCGCCACGCTCTAAACCAATCAGATGCAAACCTAGCACCTATCATGACTTGGTCGTCCGCGTTTTCCCGCGCTTTAGCCTTTTTGCTTGTTTTTACTCTGAGATTTGAGTGGCTTTTCAGGGTATTTTCCTTCCTTCTGATTGGTTGTTGCAAACACTTTAGTTTCGATTTAATGACCCTAAATCGAAAAGCGCTCTGACTTCACCGATGACTTTCTGTGCATCCGTTAAGATGGAATTGATACTTTTTTCTCACGTGTGTTTATGTGTGTCACTGGTTTTCAGGAAGGGAATGATTTTGTATTTCAACTCAAACACCATGGTATTTCACCGTTAGTTTTCAAGGCAGATAACGAAAACTCTGCAACAAGGTAAATGAACAGATCTACCTTTTTTCCGAACGGAAACAATATTTTTCAATTCTATCTATGATTGTGTCACATAAAGATAACTATTACTATAGGTTGTGCAATAACTCTTTATTTTGTTTGACTTTTTCAGGTGGATACGCGAACTTAAGAAAGCGACCACGATGCAATCATGAAATAATTGTTGTCGCGCACTGAAGTAACGCCGTCCAGGGCGTTAGGTCCGAGTCACGCTGTGCAAGTCACGCAAAGATGTTGGACGTAATGTCAAGGTTTCTTTGCGAAAGATGGAGAACGTTAAGAAGGACATTTTACTAATTGGAATACCTTATATTATCTGTGCCTAGGAAAATATCAGATGCTTCAGAATTATTATAAATTTACAAAGTTTTACCGTTATATATATAGAGAAAGACTTGAAAAGTATAGTTATGGTAGAAAAAGTTAACCGCTGTATAATTAAACTTGATTTTTCAGTTGGGTAAACAAGGCTTACTTTCCGATTTCAATCGTGCAACTAAGAGCAGACCCAAGCTTTCACGAACATTTTGGACAAATTTTGGACACAATGACACTCAACAGCTTTGGCCATAGTTAGTGTTTAGTCCTATTTTAAAATTGTTAGATAAAATGTCAAAAGCTTCTAGTCTACGAACGTTGTAAATGGTCAGAATTTGTAGAGGTGAACATGCCTCACAAGTTTTGCTCGTTTATTCCTCGTTTGTTCATCTTTGTCTTCGATTCACAAAACATTACGAACTTTTTACCGGTTCTCTAAAAGCTTTCCTATTCATTCACGATTACCAGGCGATTTTTTAACGAACTTATTGCAAATATTTCACTTACTCGTACAATGTTTGACGAGTTTGTGTTGGTGTCCATCACTTTTTCAAGGCCTACTTACGAACGGCCGACCACAAACTCGAAGCTCTCGACAATCAGAAGACGGTAGAGGTTTACCGATCAAATTTTCTATTGCTTGCAATATCGACAAATAATGCTGAATATATGGAATTATAGATATACTAAGAAGTCAATATTATCTTTCGCTATTTTTTGTGAATATTCTATCACTTGCAAAAAATATGTGTCTTTAGGCATGGATTGGAGGATTACTTACGTTTAATCAAATTAATTCACTTGAGGAAATAGAAGGGCTTTTTGTTGGAGAGGTTTAATTTTTTTATTGATCCACTTATGTTTTTTGCTCTTAAATGATCGTTATTTTTTTTGTTTACCAACCCTCTGTATAGACAAAGTTTTTATATTGTTAGAAATATAGTTTTTTTTGTATAATAAATGTTTATCTCAGAACTGCAAGTAGTATTGGATTAGTTTGTCTGCTAGGAGATTTAAAGCTGAGGAATTTTCTTTGGGAATTTGAGTAACGCAACATTGGGCTGCGTAAGAGGGAGCGTCTTCCAATTCTTAAGCACAGGGAGGTTTCTGGCGGGTAGTGGAGCAAGGGGGGAGGGACATTTTAATCCCTAGGGGTCCCACCCCTTTATCTCAAATCCCTGTAATTTTAAGCTTCTCGGTTTGCCCCGGATTTGCCGTCCACTGCCCCGGTATTACAGAAATGCTACTGTTTTGTCGGCACGAAACACTGCACGGCCTTTGTGAAGCCTCCGGTGGATGGGCAAATAGTTTCCGGGGCTACATCCTCAGCCCCTACTCAGATTTCCCGCCTAGTTTTTCCTCATTGCGTTTTTTGAGCAGGCTTTTTCTGGCCTTTAATCGCTCTTCTATTGTTAGCGGCTACTTAGCTCCGTCTACCAGAAGAATGCAACATTTCTTGATTTCTGTATTTTACGTCTTTAACTAAATCTTTAAGTTTAAGTGTTTCGATTTCGGTGACTCGTTGATCGGTACCGTTGCTCTTGAGTATAGCACTACTAAGCACTTGCTTAGTAGCCCTATTTGCTGTTTTTTAGCCTAACGGGCTTGTTGCGTTCGTATACCTTTACATTAAGGTTTTTTTCGATTCAAGTAGAGGACTTCCCAGCCTAACTGGTATTTGTATGCCAGGTTTATTTGATTTACAGGTTCATCAGCCCAATGGCCTAAACAGTCCAACTGGCATGATTCATCATACACGTAGGTTTATTTTTAGATTTAAGTTCATAGTAGTTGATTTCCCAGCTTAACTGGCAGTGGGACGGAAAGATTGCGCAGATAACGGCAAGTTCTGCATGGAAGTCACCCAAGTAGCCGTGATAGAGTGTTATACCACTTCAGGACCAACACTCATATCAATTTACTTTACCTAATTCACATATTAAGCTCTTGTAGATTTTGTACTGTCGCACAGTGTTTTGGGTTGGTTTTTGCCAGGCCCATCCCAAATAAACTCAATTGTCAACAAGCTTTGCTATTTAGGTGCTGCTTAGTGGGGGTTAAATTATACTATGGCGCCATACGGGAACACATCAAATATAATACACGATGAACTTTCTTGTAGATAATAATGAAAGCGACAATCATAATCATGATGATAATAATCGATAAATATATATTCAATGTGTGACGTATTAGAACAATCTACATAAATTTTCATAAATTAAAATGATAGTAAATTATATATGAATTAATTTACTATCATAAATAATTAAATATTAAATATGACATTGATCCGCAAGGTGTAGCGAGCATTGCCGAAATCAATTAAGTTGATACCTGAATAAGCATTGTGACTCATACTTAGATAACATTTTCGTTAAAATCTAACAAGTGCCATAATAAGAGACTAAAATCTCTACGACTCTGTAAATATCTCTAAATTTATATTAAATTGATGTAAAGTAATGCAATGCGAAAACTAAGCTGTGATAAATTCCTATATAAATAAATAAATAACATATTAACTAATCTCCTTTGGCAACAGCAGTAGCATTTGTTCTAGCAAAACTTATTTTCTTTAAAACTCTTTTCTTAGTCGTTACGTACACATTAGGGAGTGTAACGTGTTGTGTGGCTATCCTTAAAGACATAATTAAAAAGCACCTAAACTATTTCTTTTATGCTGTTCAGAAAAACAATGGAGAGGAGGCGAATGGGTGACTTAATCAAACGACGGCTGATCGGGAAGCTTATAGCGATAATTTTTTGGTAGTACTGATAATGGTTCCGTTTTGCTGTCAAAAAAATGGGTATGTGTTGCATGTCTAAAACAGAAGATGGCAATAAGAAATATATTTGCAATATTGATTCCTTTTTTCTTCTATAACAAGTCCCTAAAAACGTCCATATATTCAGAAGGTGACTTCATGTGTAGATAGAGAAGCAGGCTTTTACAAAATTAAGGTTACTTTCGTAGATGAGCCGTATGCATACGACTTATTTTTCTGGTCTTAGTTTATCGTAAAAATTGCCAGAAAAAAATTGAACAAAGAAAAAAAATAGTTATCGATGAGATTTGACGTACTTCCGACTCAAAATTTGAGTATATTTGTAATCGACGTTGATTCGCCATTTCCTAGCAGTTTGTGAATCGCAGACAGCTTGTCTGGGAGTGGTTTTACATGCCCCGGGGAGGGAGGGATATCAAAGTCTGCTTTCGATCTTGGCTCCCCACCCACTGGTCCCTGGTCATAGTTTTCATCTGACCCTGAAAGCTCTACAACTGAGACTGGAATACTCGATGTCATCCCCGTGTCCGAAGTACGATTGTGGTCAATTTTATTAGAAGCAATACCATCTAAAGATTTTTGACCATGACTAGTACGTTCCAAGACAACTGTGTTGCTCAAAACTTCAGATACTTTACATTCCGCTGGTTTTTCATCCTCAGCTTTCTTTCCAGTTTTAGGAGGACAACATGAATTCTCGTAAAATTCCGTCGGTCTGTCTTGGACATCTTCAACTTTTGGACAAATCATGGGTTTTCCTTCTGTTATGATCTCGTATCCGTTAGTGTGGGCGTGCTGTGACACACTTCTATCAACATCTTTAGATGATTCCCCGTGGGTTTGCGGTGAAACAGTGGTGACTTCACCAAAAGATTTCTCATTAGATTGCTGTTGTATTGTTGTGTTTACTCCAGCGAGGGAGTTCCCTTGAATTTCCTGTGACACGCTTATGATGACCTTTCTGGAAGAGCTTCCTTGGGTGTCCTGTGGCACAGTGGTTTTCTCCTCCAGAGCTATACCTTGACGTCTGCTTCTACGTCGTTTTGGAGGTGGTGTGAGGTTCTCGTCATCAATTAGTCCCAGCTCCTTACACTGGGCAATGACTAGTAAATACATAGAGAAACTAACTTTATGTATAGCGGCTGTTTTATGTAAAACATTGTTACAAATGGAAATTGGTTGTGAACATTCCCCGTTACTACAAGACAGGACTCTGCCCTAGCCCCCCTCTCTCTCTAGTTTGACAACTTGTAACTCGTTAACTGGTAAAACTTCGTACTTTTTCCAAGTCTTAATCCTTGTTCACAGATTTCAATTCTGTTGCAGACGGAGAAACGTTAAGTGTACAAAAGCAAACCGGAAACAAGGAAACTGAGTGTGGGAAATAAAAAAAAGACAGTCGATACAGATCTAGAACTCCTGAATGCTCATGGAGGCAATGACATTGTAACAGAATCAAGACATGACACACGAGGAACTCAACGATGGACTTGACAGTCGGCAAAAAAGACATCAAGAGAAAGGTATAATAAAACTGACGGGACACAGAGAGCGACAACCAGCGGGAAGAATGGAGACAAAGCGGCTAGAAAAGAACTGAGTAGGAAGAGACAAAAAGGAGGAAAAGAAACAATCCATTTCAGCGCTCATAAGAAGATGAAAATACATTTTCGAAAGGGAACAAAGGAAAAATTCAACTGATCAACTTAAGGGACGTAAGCTAGGATTTTCAATACGTCTTCCTATAAACGGCTTCCAGAAGAACTGACGGTGGTGAGAGTTCTATGGTTGGAGGTACTGTGCCGGTCGGCGGCTTTCATTGCAACCCTACGGAGAAGTGATCTGAAATATTCCGCCATTCATTCCTAATTCTACTTAAAACCTTGGAATTGCAAACTAATCTAATATACAGATCCTATTAAGTGAGACACAGGACTGGAAGGCAAAAATAAATTGGAAACATACTGCTCGGCGGAGAACAACTTGATCATTTCATCGGATCACATAAATAGAGAGATCGACCAACGTGAGCGAGGTTTTACATACCCCTCTCGTCAGGCTTTGGTGGGGCGCAAAGCTGAATCTTTCTCAAGGCAGCTTTCTCCTCTAATGATTTTTTGTCTTTAGTGACACCCTCTCCGCTGAGATGAACAGCGTGTTGTTTGAATCTCTCCTCAACAGACTCGTCTTGGTTACAGGAATCACAATCTTGAATGCGAGTAAGGCCCTTCAGTCTGCGATAAAAATGATTTTCGAAATAATGTAATATTATTTTTCAATAATTGTTAGGAAATTTACTTGAAGTAGAGGCAAAATTGTAGATCTAATAAAATACTGCTATTCAGTCGTCGAGAGCTTGTTCCAGGCCCTTAGCAGTCAATGGAGGCCAGCTAAAGAAAATGCGAACGAAAACGGCGGCTGTGCATGGTTGTCAAAGAAACGGCTGTAATATTTTTCCTTTCCAGACCCCTACTGTTTCCGCGCACCCACTTTTAGGCACCTTTCCACTGACTGAGGGCCTGAAACTAGCGAGAACTTTGGATAAAGAACACTGTTTATTCGAGTTGTAACGAGCTTAGGACAAAGTCTTTTTGAAGTCGAACCCCAGAGCTTAAGATTTCACATTACAATGCTCCACTACTAAGCTACAGAGAACAGGATGGTGAGCTAGGCCTCATACTGCGTTCATATGTAGCACGCTGCCAAGATAACACGACACCTCCCTAACCCTTTAACTCCCATGAGTGACCAAGACAGAATTTCTCCTTACAATATTGATACAATATCAAGCAGACAAGTGAGGAGAATAAGAAAAATATCGGTAAGGGGATTATTAGTTGATTCAATACCAAATTCTCCAAACTTACATCATAAGAATTGTATGGTAGAAAATAGGGAGAATTATTAATTAGATCTTAGGATTGATAGCGTTAATTAACTAATCCTTGCCGTTTAAAACACGCTGGTCAGAAATTGAAACTGGCAACAACTATTACCAAGATACGCCCGCGCTCGTGTTTACTTGGTAACCAAACCTAACATGGTGTTAGCTTACCTTTCAAAAGCATCTTCTAATGTGTCCAGTCCTGCTGGCGGTACATTGGGGAAAACATGATAAGGCCTTAAGTAGCCTACTAAATCCTCGATCTGAAAGACACCCAAGTTGTATCACAAAAGCCTGCTCCTCACTAAGCTTCAAATAACACAGTCTCCTTTTTTTTTACTCATTTATTTATTCATTCATTTCTTTACTCATTTAAGCCCGCGCAGCTGGCAGTTTTGCGGGCGCTCTGAAGCGTTAAGCGGCCGAACCGTGAGAAGCTTGCGTCGGAAAATGACAAGGTTTTCAATAAGAACCTTCGTTGCTACTCCACCGGCTTTAGCATCATTGAGCGACAAAACTTCCGCATGCTTTACACGCTTTCCTTTTTTTTCCTTAGCGACTGAGCTAGCGATTTTGAGCCTGGAAACGATCTTAAGGTTTTCTTAACCTGGAACCCAGAACATGATTTTTATGGCCAAATTTTCATATCTGCATATTTTTTAAACACCTCTAACCCCTTTCAGAGGAAGTTCAACTATTAGCAACTGAAGGTTGCAGTACCTCTTCCATTGATGCATGCATTGAATGAACAACTCTCCAGAGCCTTTTCCCCTTGTCATACCTGAGGATGGAAAAAATCTTTGGTTGAAATACACGCATGGTGTGGATAGCACCAAAAGTGCTTCATTTTCACTGATACCTTTTATTTTGACTGAAAAGAGCTGAGTTTTTGTGACGTGTACAACGGCAATGTAAGCATCATAGACCCGCAAAAACTTAGGGACAGAAAGCAATTTTTCTTTTTGTGTGTGTGTGTTTGTTTTTGTTTTGCATTTCAAGATGACTGAAATTTACGCCTGGAAAAAAATCTTCTTTGGAGATTTTCTATTCAAACAGCACCACACTAGCGAGGAAGGGAAGGTAATTTTGTCAAGTTTTATTCCTTATCGAGTTGTACTAAGGGGTCATACAGTAGACGGATAGCCATATTTCGAGAGCACAAGTAGAAAGAATGCAAAGGGGCCTATGCTTCTATGAAGCTTTTTTTATTTGAGTTAAATCTTTTCGGCGTTTTATATTTGGCTATTTTTTCCTGTGGGAAATTACTTCGAAGGGTTCTTAATGAAAAGAGGGAAATTTATTGGGAACTTGCCAATGCAACTCTCTTGAAGATATTGTGAAAACTACAAGGTGATCAGATCAATGAGGACGTAAAATAAGCTTTGGTATTTGTTCTCACCTTTTGAAATCCTCCGGCATTGGTTCTGTACTACGTGCTACCCACATGGTTGTTGGCTTTATACGCAGAACCTTTGTCTTGAGAGAGGGATGAACTGAAGAACCACAAGGGAGGTCTGAGTCACACCTTTGGTTGGCCTGAGGAATTTAACATGGAGATATGGATAACAGCATTTGAAGGAGGGGGAGGGAGGTGGGGGAGATGGGTGACCTGAACAAGGGCCTACTACTGTGTCCCATTTATTCTGGGTTTAGTCTCTGTAGCTTGAATAAAGGGGGTAAGGGTAAGTTTCTAAAGAAACTGTGGTGCTGCTTTGGTGGGAGAGTATGACACTTAATTTAATTAATATTATCAACTGAGTTGATAACGTAAATTGGCCTCCGTAAAGAGCGTTAGCCCTTCGTTGAACGTTCGAAACGGCAGCTCTGAAACTCTCTGTAGCTTGAACTAGCTAAAAAAACTTTTATCGCAGAGAACACCTTTTCCTGCTTGGAATGATGCATGGGATACACTAATGCATCTGGTGCTGAACACCGTACCCAAGACAAGTCAATTATGGCTGTTAATGAGACTAAACAGAGTCCTTCCTCCCCTTCCTGTGAACTTCATGCCAGGAAAAACCAATATGCTTCAGCCACTGTGGGTAACCAGGTTTGCAAAATTCTACTAAGGATTGGTGACAAAAGCAGTTATGTTTAATGGCTGACTTTGTGTCAATAACAGAAGTTACTTCAAATTTGAGTTCTATTGAGATTGTCTCCCTTCCCATATTCAACGACTTCCACAGAAAAATTAATTTTGAAGATAGAAAAATCCAGAGTAATTTAAGGGGGGGAGGGGAAAGGCAGTTTTAATGAAGGGATGAGGGGTGAAATTTGACAAGGGTAATGGAAAGTAGAGTCCTAAGAACTCTTTTTTCCTATAGTGGCTGACTCAGCATGGTATCACTGTTTTTTACTGAGAACCTGGGAGAGTACCAATCTTGAACTCCTTCTGTCCATACCTGCCACTTGCATGCATGTATCTTAGTAGATTGACCATCAGTTGTGAAATAAGGAGTCATGTCCGGCAGATATCTGTACATGGCCAGCCGTTCAGCACTGACATGGATCTTATTGCAATGCAAAGGATTTCAAGAAACACAAGTTAATTCAAAGTCTAACCAGACCAAGGATAAAAGAGCCTAAATACATAATGCTCCATATTTGTTGTATCATGGAAAAATGCTCAAAATGAAAGATAATCAGCAAGCAGCCCCTCATTAATAGTGCTGCAGAATATGTTTCTTTGCCTCCAGGGAGGTTTGAGACAAGTCAGGGAGAGGTTACCAAGGGTTTGGCACAAATGATGAGTCATTGGCAGTGCCAGGCCCCTTGCAGACCTCTCGCCCACTTGTGTCACTCAAGGCCTCATACTTTTTTCCCACAGCAACACCCTAACATCAGTATGCATATTCTCCATACTGTTCTCTATACATCTCCTAGGGTGCTGACAAGGAGAACTTGTCTAACAATCAAGAGGTTCTTTAGTTGGTGATCATTTCTTTATTCTCATGACCTTAATGTTTGATTCAGTGGTGATATTGTAAGGAGAAATTAGATGCCAGTCACTTTTAGGGGTTAAAGGCTTAATGAAAGACAAAAAACACAATCACCTTTGTTCTATAATTCATGGCTATTTCCTTCAATAAATATTCAAATCCATACATTCCTTTGCATAACAGGCTAACAGCATATTCAGGACCTCTTGAAAACCACCTGTTAAATAGACATAAATTTAAAATGGTTAAAAAAAAAAATCTGATATTCATAAAGCATTCCTTAGATTTCAAATGACAAGGAAACAATGACATTTTTTTTCCACCTATGCTGCTGTCATTGTTTTTGGTCTCCTTCTGTTTACTGTTTCCAGCAAAACCAAGTAATTAATTCATAGTCTGAAGATTTTAATTCATGAAGATTGTACCCTTAGGGACTAGTCATTATTTATCCATAATAACCACCATGGGAAGGGGGGGAAAGTCACATAACAATTATAACTACCAATGTAGAATAATACAGAGTCCTAAGGGAGGGATCAGATAAATTTTACTGTGACACAACCAAAATTCTCTGTCCCTCCCCCCCCCCCCCACAATAAATAATGACGAATCCCTAAATTGTTGGATAGCATTCCAAAATATTATCTTAAGATTATCAATCACAACCTCCTAAACTTTACCTGTCTATGAGGTTTATGACAGCATCTCTACTCTGTTGCTGCAATTTTAAAAGAGAATTAATTAATTATTTGGGAAACCATAGCATCAAAATCAAGCACTAAAAAATTTTGAATTACGTGCACACTTGACATGCAACTTTAAAAAACAACATCAATAATTTTGAAGCAATTTTCTTTGAATTTCTTTTGCAATAATAAAGTCTAAATGCAGTTACATTTCATTTGTGCCAACCAGGGTCAAAAGAAACAAAGTGAGAGTAAAGTGTCTTTCCTAAGAACACAAGAAATTGGACCCTAGACATGGCTCAAACGGGAATTCCAAATTGTTATGCTTCCAGCCACAACATTTACATATACAATAATTAATTGTGCAATAAATATGACTGAGGTATTTGGAATAAATAGAGCCACTTCTAACATCACAAACAACCAATTGAAAGAAAATTTCATGATACCCACCCGACTAGGCAGGCTCTTCATTCTTGGCAGACAAAATGTTGTGTCAATGTAAATGCTTTTGATGTCTTTAATTCTAAAAAAAACAAAGGCTTTTCTTGAAAAGTTTATACAGCAGAAAACAGCAAAATTGAGATAAATGAAAGCTGTTTAAAACTGTGATAATAGCCCAAACCAAAAGAACTAAATAAAAAAAGGGGTGAGTTTCTAAAGAAACTGCAGTGCTGAGACATTGGAGGGTATTACAAGATAGTTGTCATAACCATTTTGGTTTTGTCACCTGAGTTGATAGATGTAAATGTGCCACTGCAGAAAGGTTCTAAATCTGATATTTTAAGTGTTAGCCCTTCAATTTTATTCACTCTGAAACTTAAGAAACTCTCTGAAGTGGCCAGTTTTCTTTTATTTATCAACTCTGTTGATAAAACCAAATTAGCCACCTCCCTTCCCCTAAAAAGTTAGAACACTACCAAGAGCTTCTTAAGAGGATTCAAGCCTGAGAACTTATAATTTCCCAGTCAGATGCATTATCAACTGAGCTGCAGATGACTTGGTGGTAAACTACACAAAGGTTTTTAAGAAGTTCCCATGTGAACACTGCTGTGTATAATGCTTTACAAATTGTAAGGTTTGGAATCTGTTACTACCTTTTGCAGGAAAAATAAGGGAGTGAAAAAAAAGTGTTCCTCAAAGACATAAAGTTTTCTTTATTTCTCTTTGCCATGACTTGTTACAGACAAGTAAAAAATAACTGAAAATATTGTGGCTAAGTGCGTTAAAGGTAAACGTACAAACCCTTCTTTGGTATGAAAGAAAGAAATTCTCTTCACATCTCCCTTGGATAAACGAAAATCACCTGCCAATCAGATACAAAAAAAACTAGAGTGTATCATATGATTTAAGAATCCAAATCTTGGATTTTCTGAAGGAAATGCACCTTCTACACTACATTCATCTTTCCCTTCATAAATGTGAGAGCTGTTTTTTTTTAGTCGCAGAACTGAAGTTGTTTTTGGAGACATAAGAGTAATTATGCTTTGCTGAAAATTGAAGTTAAAAGCAGAGTCAGGCTTGATGGTACTGGAATCAAAAGAATGATAATGAATCAAATTTTTTCAATTATCCTAACAATTTGAACACTTAGATCCAGTGAAAAACTGGATTTTCAATTTTCAAAATAAGCAGTGAACCATATAATCTTGCTGCATGATTTTAACCCTCTAAATGCATATGGCTTCAACAGTTTAATTTTTAGCAGATCATATACAGCATATATGCAGGAATCACAAGTGGATTCAGTTCTCATCTTTGGATTCTGTCAGTTCAATTTTCACCAGTTATCACTACAACTCCCACTCCAACCCAACAATCCATACATTAAGCAATTATTATATGAGGTTGAACATGATATCATGAATTATCAATACTGCAGTCTGAGTTATCAACTGAGGCCAAAGGCCGAGGCAGATAACACAGACTCAAAGGTTTGATAAATCATGACATCATGTGAGAACCAAATTTTATCGTTACTTAATTCTACACTTTTTAAACAATCTGCAAAAGACACTTTGAGAACCCAACATGGAAAAGGTGCCTGGAAACTAGGCAGACCTTAATGCAACATGATGACTCAATATCTCCTACAGATCCTGGGTTATCATGTTAATTTCCCACGCTGTTGTACTGTATGCTCTTGACCAATCAGAGTTTTCAATTATAATTATTATATTAGCCAAGGTTGAGATTACCTGTGTAGAGCACGTTCCCACCTGGACCCTCAAATAAGAACCTACAGAGTGTACACATAAGTGATGTAGTGAATACACATGAAAGTTTTTCTCTTTCAATTTGATCATGAGAAGAAATGTAATTTTGGCAGGGTTGAAACAAAGGTAACTTTGATCCAGTGTAAAAGTTATTGTAGCCAGCTTACAAACTCACAAACACTGTAACTTTTAGGCAAGTCCTTCTGTTTAGAGTAATATTTTTTAAGGCTGAGAAAAATTCCCCACAGATTCAAATTAAAGGTTATCAACTTCAATTTTTGGTGAAATCCAGCTACATATACCTTGACCTTTGTTTTTTTAACTAACACATGCATAAAATCTTACTTACATGACAGATCCAACACAATGTCCAGCAGGCAACAACGTTACACAAAAAGAACTTTCCTATGAAAAGAGCAAGACAAACAGGAATTACTTATTACCTCAAGAAATATAAGATTTCAAAACCACAAGAATTCTAAAAGCTGATCTGGTATAAAAACACAAAGAAACCAAATAACTTCAGATCTGTAATGGACCATTTAAATATCAGAACTTGTGGTTCATCCTTTCCACCCTAAAATTAGAATTCATATTCTCCACACAGCCACACAGCTCTCTTCACATCTCCTATGGCAAGGAGAATTTGTTTGACAATCAGGAGTTTCTCACATTGCTGATCATTTCCTTCATTCTCACTACCTTTACATTTGATTCAAGGCTATATGGTAAGGAGAAGTTAGAAGCCAGTCACTCTGAGGATTAAGGGGTTAATGGAAAGCTAGATCATAAATTAAAGGGCAAGTGTACAACAGGAAGAAACAATTTACCTGTCCTGTCTTGTCATCAACGAGTGGAACCATTGTCTGCTGGTCCACAGGTATACTGCGCTGTAATAAGGAGAATGATATTGGGTTCAATGCTCTTATGTTTAACAACAGAAAAAGAGAAAAACATTGAAAAAGAAATGACAGTGTATGTAATGAAACAAAAACTTTAGATATTAACAATATAGTCTTTGAGATGACTGTATGTTGGGTTGCACATCAACAAGTTCTCTGTAGTTTCTGAACAATACAGGAATACAGTTTTGCTGTTGAAAAAATGAATTAAAAGAAACCAATGAGAGGGGAATACTGTTGGAAAAAAGAACTACAAAGTATGTGCAGTGCTCAATTTTCCTTTTTAATAAAGTGACCATTGAGCACATGACTATAATTAATTATTTGAAATAACTGGTGAAACGTTTGTGCTTTGGCTGCTGCATAATCCACAAGGAAAATCATCACCTATTATTTGGGTGATGTACTTCTAAATTACAACCATAAAAAATTAGCATGGAAACATTCTTACTTCATACTTGCAATAAAGCCAGCTCACTTACAGTACGTGTAGTACAAGTAATTCAATATCAGCAAAGTATTCACTTGTGAATACTTGTACTGCTAGTTAGTTCTCCTAAAGCTAGTAAAATTATGGTCATACAAGATACTTAAGGGATCATTTAAGTTCTATTGCTTAACTGCTTAGCTTATTTGTACTCTTCAAAGCCATTTTTTTTTCTCTTCCCAACCCTCTCAGTATTGTCTTACATTGGTCTCTAGCATCTGTTTGGTTTTTCAATAAGACAGCCACTCTGTTTAGTGAATAGAGGGAATCTCTAAGGAGACTGTGGTGCTGCATCAGCGAGGAAGCATAACAAGATGATTTGGTCCTATCAACTGAGTTGATGACTAAATAAAGGTAAATTGGCCACTACAAAGAGTTTCTTAGTAGACATTTCTTTACAAAAAAGAGCTAATGCTCAAAACATCAACTTAGAAACTCTTTACAGTGGTCTATTTACCTTACTAACTCAGCTGATAACACTAAATTATCTCTGTTTAATGATATGTTTGTGTATTATTTGATTTGTACCTTTTGCATTTTATGTAAGGGTTTTGTATTTGTGAAAATATAAGTTAATTAGTAACATTTGTCCTAAACATTTCGGCAAAATTTCCACACAGCGCCATACTTCATTCATTATGCATACATATATGGGGCTTTATTATTCAGTGCAAGATGTGCATGCATAATGAATATGAGGCTATGCGGAAATTGTTCCAACATTTCATAAAATCATATTAAGTGGCTTAGAAATTTCCTTTGAGTCAGGCTTACATGATGGAAATTTGAATCGAGAAGTGCATCAAAAGATTTCTATCTTAGTCCAGTTCAGAATCTTGTATTCACATACCTGGTCTTTAATCTATGGTGTAAAGCTGCAGAATCTAATCCAACCATGTGATCTACAAATGAATACAAAAATGAAACAAATTCTTGGCTTTTTGAAACATATATTTGGGGTTTTCTCTTGTTTCACAGACACTTATGAAGTGTGCATGCTATGCACAAAGTAATATTTTTTTTAACAAAAAATTGCATCACAAGTCTTAGCATAAATTCCTGAAAACTGTACATCGCTCTAATAAATTTTCCCACCACAGAAATAAAATAAATAGAACATAATCATATCCTTACCTTTATGGCAGTGCGAAAGAAAAAAAGCCAAGCTATCGAGGTTTTCTCTTTCAAAATTGTCCGCCGAAATCAACGGATACTCTCTGAACTTTCCCGCAAAAGTACTCATCGTTTCTGCTGAGGTGAACTGCAAGGCTCAATTTCTCACGTAGTTTCCATGATTTGAAGTGTTCTCAGCGAGAAAAATAAAAACTCTTTTTACATATCTGAACGATACGAGACATTATGGCAAACAGGAACTTTTAAAACCCTAAAACTAGGCTAAAATTGCCAACTTTTGATTTCAAAGCGAAAATAATCAAATATGGCGGCAATTTGTCTATTGTAGATCCCAGTCCCACTACTTCTATATTTGGCCATCATAGCCATATTTGGATGAATGGCATCACATTAACAACTGCTCTTGCCGTCCTGATCAACGAAAAAGACTTCAAGAAGTTTCTAGTAGTTTTATTCGTGTTTTGCAATTTCTAACACCGTGGCCCTGTAGTTAAAGATGTCTGGCATTGATACTGAATCTCAAGACTCTGTAGAGCCGGAATCGAGTGAGTATGACGAAGATGAAGATGACGATGATTATTATTATTATAATAATGGTGATGAAGACGAAGGAATGGCATCAGACAAGGAGGACGATCCTGAAGCCTTTGAATTCCAGATCATTGATCCTAATGAAGCACAAGAAGTTTTTGACGCTTTAGTAGCCAAGATCTCTCAGGAAATTAAGGTAAAATCGCTAAGAAAACTAGCTGATGCGTACGAAAATTGTTCAGCAATTCCATCATTGACTAAAATTGCGATTTCCAATACTGGAAGAATTTCAATTTCTGTGCTCTTAACGATTCTACTTATTTCTTGAATTTATAACCAGGTATCGGAATCTGTGTCTCGAATCCTTCTTATGCAACACGATTGGAACACAGAGAAGATATTGGAAAGGTAACATACAGTCCTATTTACGCAATCAAAACGTAATGGAATATTTCTGTGGTAGTACTAATTAGGGCTAATGGTGGCAATATCATGTTTAATAATTAACTCGAAAGCGTATTAAACAACCAAATGTTTTGGCTGAACACCACTATTCTAAAAAGGCAAATATTCCTCAATAAAACATTTTGGTCTCCTGTGACATCTGTATCTATTTAAAATTTGCCATACAAGGTACTGTACAAGTTTGTAGTCTTCTAATCTTAACCCTTTCCACTCTAACATCAGTATGCATATTCTCCATACTGTTCTCTATACATTTCCTAAGATGGTGACAAGGAGAATTTGTTTAAAAATCAAGAGCTTCTTTGGCTGGTGGTCATTTTCTTTATTCTCATGACCTTAATGTGTGATTCAGGGTTGATATTGTAAGGAGAAATTAGATGCTCATCACCCCTAGGGGTTGAAGGGTTAAACAATTATTCCATGAGCATGCATAGGATATGATGTGATATATAGTCAATAAGGCTTGAATCATCTCATATCCAACAAGCATAGGTGTAATAATTATTTATAACATAGCGCGCATGCTTGCCCTATGTAAGTCCTATTGAGCTGCTATGAACAAAATCTTTATTTACGCACACCCGTGCGTAAATAAGATGACATGAGCATTTTTTGTTCATTGTTGCTCTGTTAGAAAAGAATTTGCTCATGCTTTTAGCTGTGCGTATATCAAGTTATGGATGCACTTGGGAAGTTTAGAGAGCACTCAAAAAGCTAGAGTTGCTCTCGGCTGCACCTTGAGCTACTCTTACGCAATTTTTGTGCTCTCCAAACTTCCTGCGTGCATTCATAACTTGATATACGCATGCTAAGCATGAACAAATTCTTAATTTATTAAAAACACCTAAAAATATAGATAAATCTTCCCAACCCTATTTGTAAGAACAAATGGAATGTTACAATGTAAAAAAACACCTTTGCATAAACTTGTCTTCATGCACATGCATTGTATAATAGCTCATGACCCATGATGGCTTAGCCAATGAAAACTCTTGGATTGCATTATCCAATGATCCAATTCTTAATATTGAATTTATTGAATAAATACGATACTATGAGTGCCCTCATATTTCAAAAAACATTTGTCATTGTACATACAGGCACAGAGTCGATCCTGTAGGACTTCTTGTGGAAGGAAGGATCATTCCAGAAAAAGCTGTTGCCACTCAAACGGTGAGTAATGATGTATGAGGATGTTGTCATGGTTACTTTGTTGTGCCACTAAATTGTGTCAGATCTTCCTTAAAAGATTTTAAGTTGTACTCTATGATATGTGCATGTAGGTTTGTATCCTTCCCACAAATCTTGCAGATTGTGTAAGTTGTAATAGTATGGATGATGTTATCTTCAATGAATTTTCTCGCATCTTTCAGACATCAAGATCTCTTTACTGCCCAGTATGCTTTCAGCGTTGTACAAAATCCAACACTAGCAGTGCATCATGTGGCCATTCATTTTGCGATGACTGCTGGATGTTATATTGTGTTACCCAGTTACAGATTGGTTTATCTTCTGGTAAGTACTGTTGGGTAACTCACATAGTCCGATAACCCTTTACACCCTCATATCAGTATGCATACTCTTCCTACTGCTCTTTATATATTTCCTTGGGTGCTATCAAGGAGAATTTGTTTATCAATCAAGAGGATGTATAGTTGGTGATCATTTCCTCGATTCTCATGACCTTGATGTGTGATGCAAGAGTTATACTTTAGGGAGAAGTTATATGATAGTCGCTCTCAGGGGTTAAAGGGTTAACAAATTCACACCCAAGATCAATATATAAATTCTCTGATCTGTCTGGAATAAGTTTCTAGTTTGTTAGTTCTGAGAATTTGGTACTGAATCACACAATGTTCCTCAGTTGATATTTTTCTTTTTTGTCAAAATGTATGAGCTTGAATTGTATTTAATATATGGTAAGGAGAAAAGTCTTCGTGGTCACTCTTGTAAGTGAAAGGGGTAAGAAGGTACTAAATCTTCTTTTTTCTGGGGTTGAAAAAAATAATGTTTACTTAGTGTGCAAAACAATTGTCTGCATACTGCATATAGACAATGATGCAGAGGAAAAATTACTCTCTTGTAAATTGTTCCATCCCTCCTGCACCAGAAAAAATTATTTGGTCCAGTTGTAGCACCCTTCTGTGAACAATGAAAGTATCCATGGTGATAATTTAATATACTGTTGGTGTTACATTTTTAAAACTGATACAGAAACTGAAAACTGCTGTTTAAAAAAAAGCTCCTAACCTCTGTTTGAATTACTGTGCACCTATGTGATAAACAATTAGGAATTTAATACGGTGATTATTGATTTTTTTTGCAGGCATTGAATGTATGAACTGTAATCTCTTAGTTGGAGAGGAAATGGCTCTTAAAATACTAAAAAATGTGGCTGCTAGAGAAAAATATAGACAGTTTCTTTTTAATGATGAAGTTAAGGTAACTATGACTTGGGGGGTAAGTTTCAGTAGGAAAGTATGACAGGGTAATTTAGTATTATCAACTGAGTTGATAATGTAAATTGGCTACTGTTAAGAGTTTACAAGCTTATGTTTGGAGCGTTGGCTCTTGATCAGAGCGAATAAGGATGGGTCAACACTTGTTTTCTTCAGTTTTGAAGCAACTGAACTCAAGTTTGGCAGTAGCACTTTGTATTGAAAGGTGCAAGGGAAAAGTGGTTATTTAATGGTCTGTGTTCATAATGGATGGCTGATCAAGAAATCCAGGTGGGAGCTTTGATGGGTTTTTGTATTGTGTTTGTCAGAAGGACTCCTGGTTTAGAGGTCTAGGTTCAAGACATGGCCAGGACAATTTGTTGGGAAAAGTACTTTATTCTAACAATGTGTCTTCCCACCCCTGGATATATATGGATGCCAATGAATTTTCAGGGAACCTGATCAAATGCTGGGGGGTAACCTTGCATAATGAGCATCCCACCATGGCACTACTAGTTACTTCATGCTAAGGAAACCAGGAGAAGCTGGGGCTGGGTGGGCCACTTGGCTTCATGAGTAGAGACTGCCGTCAGAAGAACATTTTGCTGTCACATTGCCTCTCCACCCAGGAGTGTGAGTTGATGAGGTGGGGGGGGGAGGGAGTGGGGGACCTGCAATGGACAGTTATCCCATCTAGGGAAGTAAGCATGCACATACATACATTGTAATCACCTCATGCCTGGTAAAACATTGTCATCTCCACCCTACTTCTGTTAAATTATTTAAGTTGTATTAAGAAAATAATTTTTTTGGTCCAAGCATGACTTTGTTTTCTAATCTAAAAATAAATTTTTGCTTTTTTCTTTTTTTTAGTGTCATCCTTTAATAAGATGGTGTCCTGGCAATGATTGTGGTTTCCTGGTGAAGGTGTTGGAGCCTAAAGCTAAAAGAATATGGTGTTCAAATTGCAGTTCAATATTTTGGTGAGTCAGATTTTCCCCATTCTGTTATAACTATAACAACATTAACCCAGCACACCCTAACATCACCATACATATTCTTTACAATGTTTTCTACACCTGTCTTAACTTGCCGACAAAGAAAAATTGTTTAAAAATCAGGAGCTTCTTTAGTTGGTGATCAGTTCCTTTATTCTCATTACCTTAATATGTGTATCAAGGGTGATATTGTAAGGAGAAATTAGATCCTAGTTACTCATAGGTGTTGAAGGGCTAAAGGGAAAGTCATGCACAGTATATGACTGTGTTTAAGAGGTGGGGGAATGTTTAAATTATAATTTGTCAAAATTTCTGGTTGTTTTAAAATTGGAAACTTTTTAGCTGATGTTTGAGCATTGAGACAGAAGAAAATATTGATAAAAGGCTTTTAAAAAAAGACATTGCTCTAATATTCAATATTCTTACTCTTAATCATAGAATTTTGAGATTAATTTTTTTCCCCAAAGATGAACAATTTACTAATCTTGTGAGTGTGTTTTGTTACTTAATTTATGATAATTCCACATTCTGCTACATATTTAGTTAAGACACTTCTTCCAGAACTGTATCTATGATGGTCTTTTGCGCCTCTACCCCTCCCAGTGTTGTAAATCACCATTGTTTCTATGCCATCTTGCAGATTATTATGGAGAAGGGCAGGGAGGGGAGGGGGGGCACTGGTTGTTCCAACAAATGTGTCTGGGAGTGTAAATTTTAAGTGAGACTGCCTGTTGATTTGCATATGCAGTACCTTATATAGTTTTTCCCACCCATTCAGGGATTACGAAGGTTTAACAGGCAAATGAGCCTATGGCCCCTATCATTGGAAAGTTATGGGCCATTTATAAAACGTTTGGGCCATTAGGGTAAATAAATGGGCCAGTAAAAATTTTAACAAAGGTTTATTGCTTGTGTATTACAGTCTATACCTATATCTGTTTCGTCCGTTTCACGGTCGTTTTCGCTCACAGTATCACAATTCTGCTCCGCTGTTGTGTTGAAAAATGTAGACAGCATTCTCTGCGAGCTGTCCAATCTCAAGATGTTTTTTTCGGAGGCATGAGGCTAATCGATGCAAATACATTCAAAGCGACGAAAACGCTCGAACTCTGCTCGAAAACGAAACTCCGAGCAATAGCCTCGTTTGCATGCAAAGTCCGAGTTCAGGATCTGGGAACAAGAATGAAGTGAGCATGATCAGACGAGCGAAGGCACTGTAGTTTTTCGCTTGTTTGTCTCACCAAAGTGAAACTTTTACAAATTAAAATCCTTTTCACAAAATAGTGTATATTTCACTAGCTTTGTGCGGTCAGGGCGCATCACAGGCCCGGGCCATTTTGTAGCTTTATGCGCCATACGCGCATGGCGCACGGCCTTCCTAATCCCTGCCCATTCAACAATTAATATATTTCCTTTTGTATTTTCCTTCCTTCTCTTAGTTTTATGTGTGGTGAAAAATACCATGCACCTACAGATTGCTATACAATTAAGAAATGGCTTACAAAATGTGAAGATGATTCAGAGACAGCTAATTATATCACAGCCAATACTAAAGATGTAAGTATAATTTAGGATACTCACTTACAGACCATGGTGTAGCTAAGGGAGGGAGATGTAGGTAGTCTGTGAACCCTTTAACTCCCAGATCAAATTTGTAATTCTCCTTACTGTCAACCATACAATTCTTATAATGTTAGTTCAGAGAATTTAGTATTGGATCAACTAATTATCCTCAAATTGATATTTTTCTTTATTCTCATCACTTATCTGGTTGATATTGTATAGATATTGTGAGGAGAAATTCTGTCTTAATCACTTGTGGGAGTTAAAGGGTTAAGGCTGCAAGCAGATGTCCAGAATACTGGGAATTACTTTACTTTTGTAGTTGTCAATTTTTTTTCCTCTGGGAGGGGCCCCCAGCACTGGGGACTGGGCACAGCTGCCTATGACGCCATTGGCAGCCACTCATGGAAAACATTATTGAAATCCCTACAATAGATCCCTTCAATTTGCAGTGAGCTTTAATCTTATCAGTTATTACACTAGTGCAAATATTTTGTCAAGCCTTTCTGAACAATAACTATTTGTACCCTACAGACTGTTTATCAGATCATTACTCATTAACAAAACGTTTGTAAATCAATTTTGCCCCCAATCTTTGATTGATAAAATTGCTTATATGTGAGTATTTGGTGTTTTAACCACTGTGCTCCTTTTGCTTTTCATACAGTGTCCAAACTGTGGAAGCTGCATCGAGAAGAATGGCGGCTGTAATCATATGGTAATTCTACCTTCATTTGATGTCTTGTTGTTTTTGCTGCACTCCCATCGAGGCAGTTAAGGAATTCTTATTCAATTACTAATTTTGTGTTCCTATGTCAATTTTCAGCAATGTATCAAGTGTAAACATGGTAAGTTGTTAGTTTGTAGTCCATAGATGTACCTTCTGCACAACAAGGATGATCTTTGCTCGAACTCTGATTAGGAGGTTGATAAGATATTTATTGCATCTCATCCCTGTGTCTGACAGGTTTAGGAAACGATTTGTTGTTGCACAGCGCAGAATTTCTGCAAATAGACTGTACAATAGAGCACAGCCTGCTTAAAAAAACAACCACCGCGTGTTTAGTAAACTGAAAGATTCGACAAGTGTTTCACTTTCAAGATTTGACTGTTGAACCGTACCTTGTAGTGTTTTCTTGTCAAAACGTTTCATCCTGATTTGAATTGTAGATTTTTGCTGGATGTGTTGTGGAGACTGGAGGAGTCATGGCTCAGAGTATTATGAATGCAGTCGGTATAAATCCAATCCAAACATTGTAAACGAGTCCGCAGGTATACAGGCCAGGGAGGCGCTTAAAAAATATCTCTTCTATTTTGAAAGGGTATGTGTTAGTCGACGAAATAAGTAGTAGGAAACTTAAGTAGTCTTGTGTCCAACTCGATATCTCGATAGCTATCGTGTTAAATCACTCATATCTACGCGTGCCCGTGATTGACTACCAAATGAAGACGTGATCAATTTTCTGTCGATGTTCCCGCTCTCAGACAACAAGTGGCAATTTAACATTGCTATTTTGCATGGAACGACCAGGAAGGTACAAGCTAAAAAAATTCACTTGCGGAGCTATTTGTTCTTTTTATTATTAGTTTGCTTTCATTACCAAGTTGCTGGAATATCTTCGTTTAGCGTGGCCATGAGTGAAATGTTACAGAACGCGAAGCTTTTGACGCGAACGTATTCATGAAGCGGTTGTCGCGTGAAGCGCGATATCGCAAATTCTTTGGTAAAGCGAAATTCTATAAAGTTGTCGCAAACTTTTTTAATTTCCTTGATACTGGGAAACTAGGCTAGTTTTAATAGTATTTCTTAGACTTTTGCATACATCTGAGATCAATACACAAGGAGTCTTACATGCTAATCTTTTCTTTGCCAGTGGCAAAATCACGCGGACAGTCTTAAACGCGAGGAAGAAACAAAGCGAAAAATTAACCAGAAGATACAAGAAAAAGTTAACAATAACATCGGCACTTGGATCGACTGGCAATATCTTCTAGATGCTGCGCAATTACTAGCAAAGGTAAGTAAACAACTTGTCCAGAACAATTTCCAGTTGAGTGTCGGAAGTACTCGGCCATTTCATTGTGTTGCTTCACTGCACTCTGTGATTGGTTCAGTAAACTCGCACCAATTAGATTCAACATTAAAGCCAACCGCGACTTGGTCATTCACTTTTTTCCCGCGCATTGGGCAGTGTTACTCCTCTTCACTCCGTGATTGGTTGAGGAAACTTGCGCCATCCCCTCAACCAATCAGATTCATAACGAAAATCAAGTGCAACGTGGTCATTGGCGTTTTCCCGCGCCTCAAGCAATTTGTTTTTTATTTTAGTTTTAGTTCCTATTGACTCCATGTGAACCTCACCAACGGTCGTCGAATTCACAGCAAACTATGAATTATTAGTTGCCGTGGTGATTGTAACTTCTCTGTTTGATGTTCTTGTTTGCAGTGTCGTTATACGATGATGTACACATATCCATATGCCTACTTTATGGAGGATGAGAGAAAAAGACTGGTAATTATTCACCTCTTACCCCGGTACATTTTCACTTGACTTCCAAGGAGTTTCACTCAGAAGTGAAACTCTATAGAACTTTAAAAGTTTGACCCCTTAGAGTGACTGGCATCTAATTTCTTCCTACAAGGAAATAGTCACCAACTAGATAAGTTTTTGACTGTAAAACAAATTCTCTTTATCAGCACCTTACAAAGTTTACAAAGAACTGTATGTAGAAGACGCATACTGGTATAAGGGTGTTAAGACTTAAGGGTGGTTTTTCCTCAAAACTTGCATTTGTCATAGTAATCCAAAATTTTCTCTTTTATTGATTTTCGCCTTTTATTTATCGACAGTTTGAGTACCAACAAGCACAACTAGAACTAGAAATAGAAAACTTGTCTTGGAAGCTGGAGCGAGACGAACTCTATTGTAGAGGGGTAAGTTGCTCTTGGCTTGACAGACGATTGCATTCGGAGATCCAGAATTATGGGATGTAGGCAGATCGCCGCGGGATTTATTTTTTTTAAATCAAGATTCCAGTTATTTTATATTGCATCTTTGAAAATATTTTTTAAGCGAGGTAATCGAATCTGATTGCCTATAAATCAACATTTACACGCTATATGCTGTCCACTAGTCACCAGTTCCCTTGCTCAACCTTTTGCCGGTAGGAGAATACATCCCTGGGCCCATTTTTTTGTGGGGTTTTTTTGGGTTTTTTTTCAGATGTCGTCGGGGTTGGCAGCTCTGGTTATCATACTATGTAGTTAGACCAATTTTTCTCAACACTCACTCTGGCACAAAAACATGATGATGCTTTCTTTTCTCTCTCTAGGACTTTGAAAATCAAATGGACATAGCAGAAAAGAGAAGATTGACTTTACTAAAGGACTTTCTGGTGGTGTGACAAAACGTCGGAGATGACAGTCTCTCTTCGAACTTTGCGTGACAAGTGAGCGTGACCAGAACTCTCATGAAAAAATGAGCGTCACGCGATAAATGCGGTTGAAGGTCTTCTGGGAAGCTAATAATTTGGGGGAAAAAAAGGAGAAAAATTTAAATGAGATTGGGGAGAGAATTTCAGTCAAGGTCTGTTTTATATTTCTGTACGACCGGTTCAAATTAGGAGTTTTGAATTTATGGATTATACTATTAGTAAAACTCCCTCGTTTGGCAAGTTTCTTTTTCCAATAAAATAAGACGGAACATGGTTTTAGTGATGCTGTATCTAACATCAATGTACATTGTGTGCCTCATTTTATTTCCAAAAGCCGTCAAAAATAGCAATGGTTAAGTTTGCTTGGCGGAAACACTCTGATTAGCTCCCTCTCCTCCCTCTCCTCCCTCTCCTCTCCTTTCCTCTCCTCTCCCTCTCTCGAAAGTAGAAAGCCTCTCGTCCAGTATTTCAAATTTCTAGTAAGCGTTCTTCTTTCGTTTTTCATTTTAATGGTTCAGTGCCAGATCCAGAGGAAGAGTCGAGGGGGTTTGGGCCCCAGCGTCCCAGCTTTTTTGTTTGTTCGTTTGTTTGTTTGTTTTTATTAATGTAATTTTTTTTTAATCTATCAATCAGACACCAAAATTCGTGCAAAGACTAGATCACATACTGCCACTAAACCTTTTTTTTCCCTTTAACTACGAGTGTAGTAAGTGTGCGAGGGCGGGTTGGCCAGGAAGTGATTTTTGACGCCCTCCCTCCCCCTCCCCCTCCCCCCCTCTATGAAAATTTCAGGACCCACCCCCGAGTCTTAATGAGTACGTATGGTTTTCAATAGGCTAATTTCCGCCATTTAACCGCGTCCGGTGTGGGGAGGAGTGCAGGCCGACCAGCGGCTGTAATCAAAGTTATCGAGTAAATGGACAAGGAGAGATGGTAAATTTTGAGCTCTGTAATGAAGAAAAAAGAAGAGGCACAGTTCAGACGCTGTGCTTCTGCCGTGCCGAGCTTAATTGCAAGTATGTTTGACATAAGATCGGTGGAAGCACAACTCTGATTCAGACGTCGGGCTAATGTCGTGCAAAATTCAGCATTTGCTGAAGCACCCTCAGCCCATTGCCAACATCTGATTCACTGTCACGCTAGAGTCGTGTAACACGGCGGGGCTTGTCGAACTAAAATACTTAATTGCTTCGCTGAACTTAATTAAAAAGTTTAATTCAGACGCTGGCCGTGCCTTCGCCGTGCTTTAGTCGAACTTTTCACTAGTGTGGGAGGCGATAACACGGCAGAAATCGAGTCTTTTAATAAGATATCGTTCCCCAAGTAGAATGTTTTGACTGCAATGTTTTCTGCTCTTGCCATTCCATTCTTTATTTCCTGTAAGGCCACGGAACACCTCAGAACACAGTGAGGACCCTGGGGATAGCCCACATGTAGCCGTACCCTCCCCCACCCTCCCCGCCAAGATGAAACGGAGGCGAGGGAAGGCCCCTCCCTTCCCTTTCACCTTGTGGAGGAGGGTACGTCTACAGGTTAGCTACCCCAGGGACGAAGGTGACTTCCGGGTATTATTTCAGCCGGCGAAATGCAACATGGGTAAATAACTTTCAAAATGGCACAAGATGACAAGTCGTCATTCGTCAAGTTAGTGACCTTTTTACGAATGATGTTCTTCGATAAAGTCGCGATCTCATCTTAACAAGGAAAAAGGTAGGTTTCACCTACATTACGTTTTTACCCAAACTTCCTAATGATGTGAATCATGAGCTAAACATACAGAAAATCAGGTGTGAGTTTTCAGTGGCGATGCTGAATCAAGCTAACAAGGCCAATTAAGAAAAACACTCTCATCTTTACAATGTGTTTCAGCATGTTTTTATCAATACTCTGTAGATTTTAATTAATTTAACACATTTTACAATTCAAATCTTCAGACTTTTTAATGATGCATATTTTAATTTTTAATCAAACAAGTAATTTCACTTTTCGATTTTGGCGCCCTCCTCGATCAGACGGGAACGAACGAGAACTTCGATTTGAAAACAAAAGAGCGTCTCAGTAGGAGGAAGTTATTTTGTGATCGAAACCACGAACAAAGGCCCTTTCGAAAGGGAACTAACGCTTATATTAATATTTCTGATAACAACTTTCGATGAGTTAAGAATTTCTGCGAGACGTCAGATTATGAGCACATGGTAACCCGCTTACGAATGGCAGATCTTTCAGTTGACCGTAACTTAATGGTAATTTGATATATGCCCAGGATGGATTTTCATAACTAGAGTTGCGAATTTCTTTCCTTTGTTATTGACGTTTCTGTACAAGATCACTGCTTCAATCCACTATAACTGAAGGATTTGTCCTCTGTCCTTAGAGGAATGAAAAAAAATTCTCTCTTTGATGATTTCTATGGTATCTCCTTTAACCTATGATTGTTTAGCGGATGTTTCTCAGGCTGCTACTTCTAGCTAAGCCACAACTTGTCCTAATCGTGATCGTGTTTGTAAATTTCCGAGTCCGTCAATTGAAGTGTTATCTTAATCTAGGCATTGTTTACAATAGACATTTATTATGTCCCCAAGTGATTTGATTAAAAGAGAAACCTCTGGCTTCTGTATATGCTGGTTTCTGAAGTTTAATTGGTGCATATACTATTCTTACTCACTGAACAAAAGTTCTGGTAGAATTTTCAATGAATAAGATTCATTAACTTTAGATCTCTGCCTCAGGTAAATATACATACCCCAGGTGAAAGACTTCCTGTCTCCTGTTGACCAATATCATTCTAATCATGTCTCCTAACATCTTCCTATATTGCTGAAATTACAATAGAGAGTTATAAGAATATTCAGGCTTAAATTACTGCATAACGCAATGCTCCATTACTGTAATCTATCATTTTGCCTTTTTCAGATTAATTGAGATTTCACAGACATTATGGATAAGTCTTCTGAAAACAGATATCGTCTTATTGCACAACAAAGGGCCGCACAAATCAGGACACTGAAACAGGAGTCAAACCTCTCTAGGGCACGTAGCCAAGATGGTAAACCTGTGACATATACGAAAATGAAAGAAAAAACCAATATCAAGAGACATTCTCGAGTCATGTCTGACCCAGAAATACCTGGGAGACTAGTTATATTAAATGCCAAAGGTTTGTTTCAAGGAAAGATTAGGAACAAAACAGAACAGAGACCAGGATCTGACAGTTTGATAACATCTAAAAACATTATGGACACAAGTGAGGGCAGACCAAAGTTCTTTGACCCATCACTTACTAGTAAGCAATCAAAAGTATGTGATCTAAGGAAGAGGTTTGAACTTGTTGAAAGTGACAGAGGGATTGGAGCTGCTGTTGATTTCTTGAATCCATTGCACAAAGTCAACAAAAACTTAACGGGTAAAACCAACAGAGAGAAACAGAGAGATTCAAAGACTATTCTGGAAGATAAAATTACTTTTAGTGAACAGGTAATGCCAGGAATATTACCTGTAGAAGAAACTAAATTAATGGATGAGTGTTCTTCAAAAGCATCACAAGACAAGGTTGAAATGCCAACACGACCTCCTCCAAGAGCTCTACCAAAAGATGTAAAAAATCGTTTTCGTGGTGAATCAGACCCCATGCCTTTGGATGAGAACCGAGTGTCAAGGGTTCTTGCTTTCCCTCAGGATAATTTGCATTCTGTGATGGAATCAAACCAGGAGGATTCAGTGCAACAGAGGTCAGAAACTGAAAAACTTGAAAATGCCAATGATTGTAACAAGGAAGGAGAAGATCATGATGATGACGGATCCGACGATGATGACTGGGACAGTGATTTTGATGATGATAATGATGATTTTGACGACAATGATGAGGAACTAAAACGTGACTCACAGTCAAGCAATGACAGTTCTTGTGATACAGCGCCTCTTGTAAGTTTCTTTCATTTTGATTGAATTGTTTAGTATGGTAACTTTACTCTTTCATTTTCAACCAGAAAATCATGAATGTCACACATTTCACATGTAAATCATTTCAACTTTTTAACCCTTTAACTTTCAAGATCTGATTGCTGATTCACCTCTCTAGCTTTTTACATTTCCTTGAAAATTAATTGCAAGAATTTGGTGTCAGATCAAAATAACAACTTCTACATGTTTTAATAAGAAATCTGAAAAGTTTGAGTCTTCTCTTTACCTGTGTGTTGGTTGATGTATGGATATTATAGGAATAAATGACTTATTAATTACATCAGGGAGTTAAAGGGTTGAAAATGATTTAACACATTTCAGGCTTTCATCCTTTTGCAGAATTTTGTTTGAGGTTATAGGTTCACTTCTTAGCTGTAGATGCTAAGAAGTGAAATGGTCTACTTAATAGTTTTTGCAACATTATCTTATAAATATCATGATAATCATTAATGATATCATTGTAGAAACTGTAATATCATGTTATTCAATTTGTATTTTGTATATACAGTTGATAAATAACATTTAAATAGGGTAAATGATTCTACAAGCTGAAACATTATCCTATTTGGCAGAAAAATTATGCACATGATTTATACAGAGTTGGAATTTTGCACAATTGACCAAATGGTACAGCAGTGTTCAAACAGAACTACACACCTTACAAGTGCATGTTGTCCCTGATAAAATGCTGTTTTTCTCAGTAGTACAGTATATTTTTTTTATCTAAATGCAACCTGAGTTTGAGTGACGAGTATTTTTACTGTTGTTGAAATGTTTTGTGCAGTATTCTGCCCTCTCAATATCGAATTTGGCTTTGTTTAGCCTCAGTCTTTCTTAAAGACTACAATTCCTGTCTAAATTTTATTTTTCAGGAGATATTTTAGTCATCATAACAATCAAAAGTTAACTGCTGTTCTTGGTTGTAAATCGCGACATAAAATATTGCAAACTTTTTGATGACAGGAATTAGTAGTAGAGTTGTAATGTGTTATTAAACCAAGGGTAATATCAAGGGTTTTGAACTATAGCCAGCTGCCAGCAGCTTATTGCCTCCCATAAGACTTCCTACTGTTGTCTGTTTATAGCTTGGAAGTAGGCTCATGTTTGAGTTTTTGCCTTTTCTGGGTACAGCCACCTATTAGACCATTTGTCAGCTGTCTATGGAAAAAATTATCAAAAACCCTATTAAGCAATATTGACTTTAGATTATTATCTAATGAATATTGACACAGGCCTCTCAAGCTTGAAAAATTTAGCTCCTGCAGTAAGCTTATTTATGTCCTTATTTTATCCAAATTTATGAAAGATTTTGATTCCTTACCTCTCTGTATCCTGTATCCAAACATTGAGTGGATCTGACAAACCAGACATACCTGTATCTGAATGGAAATAAAGTAATTTTATAGGGCCTGACAATTTTTAACAGATCATCACTTAGACTGGAAACATTAGCACATGAAATTTGACAAGAAAAATTTCATGAATGGAGTATATTTAGACATCACACCAAATTTTCATGAACAGCTAACATTAAAGAAATCTATGGTGGTAAACAGGAGAATTTTCATTCCAAACTCATGATGAGTGAAAAAATTAACAGGATAATTAGTTTCCCACATGCAGATATTAAATCCCCTACTGAGCTGTTATGCAAAACAAATGATGCTATTTTTAATTTCCCTTGGACAGGAATTTCCTGATGCCATAAGTAAGAAGCTCTACAATATTGCCATGGAAATTCTTACCACTGAAAGAGCGTAAGAAAGTGTTTCTCTTTTGCAAGATTATTTCATTTTGTGAGAAATAATTAGAATTATAATTTTTCTTAAGGTACTATCAAGTCTTTGTATGTAAATCTCTAACAACAATGAATTTATAGTCAGTAGTTCTAAAATTTATTTTAGTCTAGCTTAATTATTTGATGTGGAGAAAAGTGCAATCCAGGTGACTTGAAAAAAAAATTGGATTTGAACTAAGCCTTGAGAGAGAGAAATCAGTTTCCTTATCAACCCTTTCCTGCCTGAGGGAAATGCCATATTTTTCTCAAATGATAATGATAAACCACTAGATCATGGATAATATATCATTTTAAAGGCATTTTTTTGGGGGTATGCTATAAAGGGCACCAACAGGTGTAGAGGAGGTCACTGGAAAAACAGAGAAGTGTCCAAAGTGAAAATCAAAAAGGTTGAAAATTTTTGATTGCCTTGGACATATACCACTAAACTATAGCCTAAATTGCAGCTCTCAGAGCATTGATTGTTGTGACATATCACCTGAACCAAAACAGTACAAAGACAAAAAGTTCCAAAAGTTGCAAGGGTGGTAAACCAAGTCTTGTATTGGAGGGGGCCATGATTTTATGCCTTCAATGTGCAGATCTTTCAATGACCCTTTGGTTGTGAAAATTTCAGAAAAAATGAATAAATATTAAGCATGTAATGGCATGCTGTGCCATATGGCACCCTTGGGCTAGAAAGGTCTGTACTTTGTTTGGGTTTAGATATATTGTCTGTAGATTTTTCAATCTGGATTGTTTTGTGTTTCATTAGCCTTTTACAAACTCAAAAAGGTTGGCAACCAAAAATGTTTTGTTTCTCTTTCTGTTGGTTTGGCCCTTGAAGCCAAGCAATCAGGGATTGAACCAGTTCTTTTAACACTTTAACTCCCAGACCAAATTTGTAATTCTCCTTACTGTCAACCATACAATTTTTATTACGTCAGTTCAGAGAATTTGGTATTGGATCAATTAATTATCTCCAAAATGATAGTTTTCTTTATTCTCATCACTTATCTGGTTGATATTGTATTGATATTGTAAGGAGAAATTCTGTCTTGGTCACTCATGGGAGTTAAAGTGTTAACTTTGTGACCTCATTAAAATTCTTGGTGAAATTAAGCAAGGTTTGAACCAGGAAAACAATTATCATCAGTAGCAGTCAGAAAATTATTTTGATAAGTTGTTTTAATTTTTGAAGATCTGCCAATTTCTCCCTTTTATTTTCTTAAGATTTTAGAGTTTTTTCCAAGGACCATTTTATGATTTTAGGTTTTTAAATGGCAACAGAAAAAAGTTGAGCTCTGGGCTCTACCACAATGATTAAAAATCATTCAGATATATTTTGAGATTTTTCACTGAAAATATTACTACACTATTCTCTTTTTTCTTTTTTTTTTTTTGAAAACTTATTATTCTTAATTTATTTATTTCATTTATAGTTATGTCAGAAGACTGCACCTACTTGATCAGGTAAGACCTGAAAATACAGGTAACACATAGTCTATTGTGACCATTTGCCCTATTTGGAAACAAAAATGGAAAAAGATGGGAAGAGAAAAACAGACTTGATATATCTATCGCTGTCAAATCCAGTTGGAAAATTTAAAGGGACAATGTTTCTCGCTGAAACATCCTATCTTGTAGATTTGTTATATGATTCTAGTTCAATTTTCAGTCGGTATTATGTGCAATCATTTTGATGGCAATGTATGGAACATGTTTTTAAGAAAGCTTCTTTTTCTATTTTGAAACTGGCTTTCATTATTGCATTCAGTGTCTATTAATTATTAATAATTGTTACTACTAAGCTTTTAAGTTTGGAATGTGATTAGGCAATACCAGTTTTTTTTTAGTATTTTATTTCACTAGGTACATTTATTTAGTAAATCATTTGATTAATTAATTAATTTAATATGAGAGATCTTGAAATTCAAGTTTCCTCACAAATTTTGCAAAATTTAAGATGTCTCAAACTCTTTGCAGACAAGAATCAAAGCAGAACACAGGGGAGATGTCATTCATCTCTTTTGCTACTGTTGACTACTCATGTCAGGCAATGCCCTCCTCCTTAGAGAGTGGGAAAAAAATTCTTTGCCTGGAAAGACACTGACAACAATGGCTGTGAAGAAGACTTTTTTGGTTCCCCTTTAAATTCCTTAAAGTTTTCTTTAATAACCTCTTGTGTTCATTCTGATTTTGGTAAATAAAAAATGGCTCTATATATTTGTTATTGATTTATTTTGTTCTATGTCAATTTTAGGTCTTTTACTTGAAAATTAATGATCAGTGCTGTGCAAAAAGTATTTTACCTAAGGAGGTGCTCACTGACATTTTTTCCAACATACAAGCTATTCACCAACTGCACAGAGATTTCTTACTACCTAAATTGGAGGCAAGGATGAAAGAGTGGTATGTTTTTTTTTTGGAAGTTAAAAAAATAGATATTTAATGAATATTTAATGAAGCAAAGCACAGTAAGCCTTTATTAGGTTCATTTCTTTGTGAACTGAAACAGAGTGCTCCTTTACCGTAGATGAAAGAAATTTTTCCCAACTCCAACGCTGCAGTGAGTGGATCAGTCAGTCAGTCAATGAGTCAGTTAATCACCTAGTTAGTCAATAAGTCAGTCAATAAGTCAGTCAATAAGTCAGTCAATAAGTCAGTCAATAAGTCAGTCAATAAGTCAGTCAATAAGTCAGTCATGTATGGTGAGCTAGCCACTGGAAGTAGACGCAGAGGACGTCCACAGCTGCGATACCGAGATGCTTTGAAGCGTGACATGAAGGCTGTAGGAATTGACACAGAGACCTGGGAAAATCTCGCAGCTGATCGGTCACAATGGAGAGGAGCCGTTACAAGGCACCTCAAAACAGGAGAAGAGAAGCTGACACAAGCTGCCACAAGGAGGCGGACCCGCAGAAAACTTCGTATCAGCAATGTCCAACAAACAGCATACACGTGCAGCACTTGCGGCAGGGACTGCCATTCACGCATTGGCCTTCACAGTCATAGTCGCAGATGCTCCAGCCAAACACACAATTAGGATGCTATACCCATGGTCGACCCTGACCGATGGAGGCCTACTTACTTACTAAGTCAGTCAATAAGTCAGTCAATAAGTCAGTCAATAAGTCAGTCAATAAGTCAGTCAATAAGTCAGTCAATAAGTCAGTCAGTCAATCGGTCAATCAGTCAGTTAGTCAGTCAGTTAGTCAGGAAGTCAGTCAGACAGTCAGTCAGTTAATCAGTCTATGAGTCAGTCAGCCAGTCAGCTATTCAGTCAGACATTCAATCAGTTAATCAGTCAATCAGTCACAGTCAGTCAGTTACCGAACAGTCAGTGAATCCATTCTTAACAATTATTTGATGAATTTGCCTGATTAAATTCATAAATCATTACATCATAACTGTTATAATTATTATTATTATTATTATTATTATTATTATTGTTATTTTATTCTTTTTTCATCAGGGGCACCAACAACCAAATTGGGGACATTCTCAAAGAGCTAGCTCCATTTTTAAAGGCAAGTGTTCTTAAAATTATTTTTCATACATTGTTGATATCTTTTTGGCATATTCTTAGGTCATATTATTTCTCAAAGTGATTCAAAATCCATGACAGAACCTCACTCCCTTATGTTCTGTATCTTAACTCAATTAAACACTTTTACCCCTAAAATTGATTGGCATCTAATTTCTCCTTACAATTATCACTCTCAAATCTCACAATAAGGTCATGAGAGTACAGAGAATGATCACTAACGAAAGAAACTCTTGATTGTTCAACAAATTCTCCTTGTCAGCACTTTAGGAAATGTATAGGGAACAGTATGGAGAATATGCATACTGATGTTAGGGTGTTCAGGTTTAAAGAGCGTTACACAGTAGATCATAGCTTTGTGTCCTGTTATTGTCTTGAATTATTATGAATTCGTAACCAGTAACAAAAATCGGTGGTTTGAATCCGTAAAGATATATTATTTCTTACAACCATCGTTTTAAACTATCATTTGATTCCATTTTCCCAAGCTTGATGCTTACGTTTTGGGAGGTCTCCTAGAGAGAGACTAATTCAATTAATGTTGTTTTTTTGTCATTTTGTGCTCTTACAGTTGTATACACATTATGTTGGAAACTTTGACAAAGCAACAGAAACTTTAGCATCTTGGATAAAAAAGTCACCTACTATGGCAGCCGTGATTGAGGAAATCCAAGTACGTTACGCAACGAAATTTTCAATTGAGTGTCGAAAATAATGCGGGATTGCTTTACTTTTGTTTTTGATTTAGCTCCGTAATTTGTCCAGAAGACTTGCGCCGCTTTCTTAACCATCATTTTCTTTGCCATGATTGGCTGTTGTAAATTTACAATTTTGTCGCGTAAAAATAAGTTAACTACGAATTTGTGTAAAAACTGAAGTCGTTTTTAGCTGTCATGTGATTATCAGAAGAATTTAACCCTGTCTTAATTTTTGCTTCCCCTTAGAAAACTGAGGAGTGTGAACATTTAACGCTTCAACATCACATGTTGGAACCAGTGCAGAGAGTGCCGAGATACAAACTGCTCCTAAAAGGTAATGTTAGTGCTTAAGATTGCTAATAGCTTAATAAGGCAATTTTTTTATTGAGTGTCGAAAATAATCCGGAATTACGATGGTTTTGCTTCATTCCGCTTTGTGATTGGTCCAGAAAACTCACACCACGCTTTCGACCAATCAGATGCAAAACCATAACCAACCGCGCCTTGGTCACTCGGTTTTTTCCCGCGCTTTATGCAGATTACCTTTTTCTCTTTTTGACGTTTTTGTTTGTCGTGAAGGGCCGTTGTTATTGCTGTGATTTTAAATGCGCTCAGCTTGCCTGGTAGCTGGCGTTTTTTGTGTGCTTTAAAGCACTTAGAGGCGAAGCCGCGCGTGAAAATAAATCTTTTCCGTCCCAAACCTCCCGCTCACATATCGCATAATTGTAGGCCAACGTACGCGAGTACATTTTCACGATCAAAATACAACAGTGTACAGCTCAATTGCGGCAAAAGTGCAAGATTAAAACCTGGTGTGCAAAGGATATTTTGTTCCCTTGATGATGGAGGATCTTAAGCGAAAGTTTCAAGCTTTACCTCTTTCATTACGTCTTAACCTGTGTAGAAGAAAAAACTGCACAACTTTTGTAATTTTTCAAAAATCCTGGTATTTATAGTGTTGCCATGGTTTCATGCGTGCGCCCGCAAAAGTTCCCGACAAACGTAGACGTATTTCAGTCCTGTTCGGTCGAGTCTGACGTGAAAAGAAAATTGTCTGTTCGTGTACTTTGTTAACATTCCTTCTTATCTCTTTGTTCAGACTATGTCGCAAAGCTCCCAGAAGATTCTCCTGACTTGAAGAACACTACAGGTATGCGCCCCTGTCTTTCATGTTTTACTTCCCCTCTGTCAATTTGTTTCTCTGTCTCCTTTTTTTCCGAGCCTGACTGCTTTGAAAATCTTTTTTTTGTTTTGTTAGATGCCTTAAAAATCATCTCAGCTTCAGCTCAGCATGCCAATGACAGCATGAAGAAAACAGTAAGTCTTAAATAAAATCTGGAATCTGTCCTGAAGCACAGATCTGTTAGCAGTAATTTCTTTTAACCCGTGTTTTCTTGAAACCTGTGTCAACCTTTTCTACATCGTGACGAATTTTTGGAATTCTTTCCTTTCCTCTCTTTTACCAAATTAACCCTTTCATTCCCATGAGTGACCAAGACAGAATTTCTCCGTACAATATCAATACAATATGAAGCAGACAAGTGATGAGAATAAAGAGAAATATCAGTCAGGCGATTATTAGTTGATCCAAGACCAAATTCTCTAAACTAACTTCATGAGAATTGTATGGGAGACAGCAAGGAGAATTACTTATGAGATCTTGGGAGTGAAAGGGTTAACATAACTTTGCCTCCATGGTTCTGAAGATTATTCAGTTTTCACGTTGCAAAGGATTTTTTGTCTTTTAATGATGATGATGATGATGAGGACAACGACGATGATAATAATAATAATGATAATGATAATAGTAATAACAATAATAACAACAGTGATTTAAAATTGAAGTCCCATTTACTCATCCTTTTTTGAACAAAGGTCTTTTTGACATTACACATATTAAAGAGTCATCATCAATGTTTTTCTTCATAAATTTTAAACTTAAAAAAGGAAACGAAAAAATGCTAATAAACGAGCGACATATTTACAATAATAAAAATGAGACTCTTAATGTCTTTATAAAATAAAACCACACTATACCATAATAATTCTAATGATGATAATAATAACAGTAACAATATTTATAATTATAGTAATTTTCTTTTAAAAACAGGAGCGCTTCAAGATTCTTTTGGAAATCCAAGAAAGAATAGGAGATGATTATCCACTGATAACTGCTAGTCGTGTAAGTATCTTTTTCAACCGTTATGAAACAGGTTTATCCCAATCGATTGTCGTTGGCTTACACTAAATTAGCATCTTTGTTGTTGTTCCAGGAATTTGTGATGGAAGGAGAAGTTAGGAAAGTTGCAGCGAGGACGACAGACAGCCATCAGGAACGAACACTGATGTTGGTAAGCAAATAGTACTTCCAGGAAAAATTTTAGCGTTAGTCCCATTTCGAGTTGAACGGTGGACAACCGTGGAGATGTCGCGGAATCGTTCCCCGGACCGAACCATCACTCGGGCTCATAAAACGACGTGGAGAATTCTCCGCCTTTGCGATTACATCTGCTTAATGTCAGACATTGTCGCTCTCTCCGATAAGAACATGAAAGTATATCTCTCGTCTCCCGCACCTGTAGGGCTAGAAGTTCATAGTTTTGTATTCAGGACTAGCATCCGAAATTCGTGATATCTGAAGAAAAAAAGTCCCTTCTATCTTTTATAAATGTGTATTTTGGTGAAAGTCCCGCGTAAAGTGACGTAAACTGTAAGTGAATTCGTAGACATGAGCTCTAGGGAAAATGCTCTTTTGATATATTCCATTCATGAAATATATCAGCGGAAGCAGGCGAACGACGTTTGGCGGTTGTCAGGGAAACCATTTTTTTGCGACGCCCTCGCAATGTTTCGCTCCCCAGCTTTTTCGCCCTTTTCTACTTAAAGAGAGCCTTGGAAAAGGGAAGGAGAAGCTAGATTTGGACCATTTGTTTTACAGTTCAACGATATTCTCCTTTGCTGCGCAAAGTTTCCTGGCGCCAACAAATACAAAGTGAAAGTACAGATGGACTTGTATGGAATGGAAGTTGACGACGTCGACGAGGAACTGGAACTAGAGAACTCCTTTCGTATCATAAGCAAACAAAGAGTTATGGATTTCACTGCAGCGTCCGCCGAGGAGAAAGAAGCTTGGATTAAAAAACTGAAAGAGACCGTGGATGAACTGACAACAAAAAGAGAAAGTTATCGAAGAGGGAGCAAGCTTGAAGTCATGAATGAGGGAGACCTCGGAAAGAAAGCGCCGGCCTGGGTACGAGACGAAGCAGTGAGCATGTGCATGTTGTGTGACATCCTGTTTACGAGGATTCGTCGGAGGCACCATTGTCGCGCCTGTGGGAGGGTGGTGTGCGGAAATTGTTCTGGTTTCAAAGCACCGCTGGAGTACAAGAATGGGAAACAGGAGAAGATTTGCGAAATTTGTCACAAGATTCTCATGAAAGGCTCCAGCGAGGAAGCGGTGAAGGAAGCGGAAGGAAAAGGGCAATGCGTGTTGAAAATCGGCCAAGAATCAAAGATTTGGCACAGTGGATACTTGAATTTTAAGACCAAAGGTGATAGGAGCTGGCAGAAGAGATGGTTTGTGCTGTCGAGTGACTTTGTGATGTTCCGGTACAAGGCCAAAAAGGTAAAGGAAAATACTGACCGAAAATATTACTGCAATTAGTATCAGCACCAAACTGATACCTTCATTATTGGAGCACTTTTTGGTTGAGTGTCGTGAAACCAAAATCAAAACAATCACAACAGCCAATCAGAAGAAAGGAAATACTTTTAAGAGCCAATGAGAGTGCAAATAAAAAACAACCTAAAGCGCGGGAAAACACGGGCGACCAAGTCGTGATTGGTTTTAGTTTTGCATCTGATTGGTTGAGAAAGTGACGCGAGTTTTCCGAACCAATCATAGAGAGGAGTAAAGGAAAACTAAAACAATCCCGGATTACTTTCGACACTCAATTTGGAAATCGCTCTTATACCAACATTATTGCAGTATCAGTAACAACATTGTTCCAGTATTGGTGACATCCAATAGTTCCTTGAACTTTACCAAATAACTGTGACCAAGAGGAAGCTTTTGTTGGGCAAGGTTTTCTAATTGAGTTTACGACTTCTTATACAGAGAAACTGAAAAACGCAAGCGAATAAAATATATTTGAATCTTAAGTTCGGTGTAAGTTTTTAGGGCTTAAAGTAATTCTGCCAGAAGTCCCTCATTTCGCAAACGTTCAAGTTTCAAGTCTAAATTTGATATAACCACCTGGAGAACGAGTAACACTGAAAAAAGGGAGCAGTTGCTGCGATCTCCACAGAGTGGTCTCTATTATTACGCATTCGTCTCTGAACTTTTTCCCAACAATCTCAGCAATTCCTGTAATTCTTAGAACCAGACTTAAGAACTGTAAAAGGGGGTAAGTTTCTTGAGAAACTGTGGTGCTGCGTCGGTGGGAGAGTATAGCAGGTAATTGAGTGTTAACAACTGAGTTGAAAACGTAAATTGGCCACCGTAAAGAGTAAACAGCTGACGTTTCGAGCGTTAGCCCTTCGTCAGCGCGGTTGGCGAAGTGCTAACGCTCGAAACATCAGCTTTTTTACTCTTTACGGTGGCCAATTTACGTTTTTAACTCAGTTGTTAACACTAAATTACTTGAGAACTGTAATACTATTTATCTGGCCCCAGTTGTTCGAAGGTTGGATAACGCTATCTGCTGGGTAAATCTCTATTCGGTGGTTAGTGTAGTATGTTTTGCTGTCATTTGTCCGCTGGATAGCGATTTATCCGTTGGATAACGTTATCCCACCTTTATACAATTGGGCCTTGGAGTTGAATTCGTTGAATGCGAAATTTGTTTTCTCCTTCCATACAGGATACCAAAGCTGAATTCAACCTACCCCTTCCTGGCCATCATGTAGACAAGCTATCCCCGGTAAGTTATCGTAGTCATGGCTGCCTAAAAATATTCTGTTGACCGCACAGTGAAATTCCAGAGCCAACCACGTTATCCCGCGCTTCAGGCGCTGGGCTTGTTGTTACTTGAAGTTCTGATTGGCTCCTCGTGATGCTTTCCTTTAGTTTATAATAAACTAGTGGACAGTGTTGAAAGCGCACTCTTATTGGCCACTCAAACCCCGACTGTCCTTTACTGTTCACCTCCGAGCTACGCGCGTGGGATTTACCCATGAAACGAGTGCAAATTATCTTCTTGTGATATATTATCTCACCGTTTTAGTATAAACGAAAACAGCTGTTGGCCTCCCCTTAGATGAAATCCTGATTTGCCGTAGTGATCACTTGGGTATTCATTTTTCCAAAAAACAGCAAAGTGCTTTAGATCCTCTTCGATTTCTTATTTCTTTACAGCATTTTGACTGCAAGTCTCTTAGCGGAGCACAAAATGCATGTAAATCGTGGAAACGGTGCTGTTTTTCTCTTTCTGAGCCACAAACTTGGCACGGTTTTTAACAAGATTTTATTACTTGTATGCCTGCTTTTCCGCTAAAGCGACATTCTTGCAAAGCCTCTTAGTAGGATGGAAATGTTTGAGTTTCACCTAAACTACTGTCTCAATTTTCTGCGCATGTGCTGTTCTACGTTTGGACAAAGCCGCAACGTAATGTTCTTTTCAAAAGTAATTTGTAGATACAGTATTAAGCAGATACTATTTCATGTATCTTTTTACATTTTCCTTTATAGGCAGATGAGGTGGACCGCCAGAAAAATGTGTTCAAATTGCATCACAAAAACATTCGAGTGTTTTTTTTCCAGGCCGAAAGTGAGGAGAGCATGCGAAGGTAATGATAACTGACAAAATGTCAAACTCTCCCTAATGATTTGTATACGTTTCTCGTGAGAATTTTCAGTGAATCAGGGATCGCTTTGACTTGATATTTATACGCAAGTTTTAGTCTCCGCGCTAGAATTCAAATCGCGAGGTCTGGGCTCCAGTACTGGACAGGATTATTGTAAGGTGTTGTGGTCAATATTCTTTAGTCCTTAACCTTTGACTTCCAAGATCTAATTGCTAATTCTCCCCTCTAGCTGCTACAAATTTCTTTGTTAACTTGTTTCGGGAATTTGGTGTTAGATTAAGATGATAACTTCTACCTGATAAGTTTGAGTATTCTCATAAGCTATCTGCTGGATAATGTATTATGACAATAATAATAATAATAATAATAATAATAATAATAATAATAATAATAATAATAATAATAATGGTTATTATTTGTAACGCGCATTTTACATATGCATATGATCAAATGCGCGATAAAATAAATAGAATAAACTAAATGTAAATATAAATGCTCGATGAAAATTTAAATACTCGGTCCTGAATCAAAATATGTTGAAATAGTATGTCTTCAATAGAGATTTAAATTTAATTAAGTTATATGCATTTCTTATTAAACTAGGAAGACCATTCCAGAGTTTAGGAGCTGCACTTACAAAAGCCTTATTACCTAAAGTTTTCTTCGTTCCAGTGGTTAATGGTTGTAATAAAAGCTCATTATTAGAGCGCAAACTATAATTCAAAGGCTGTTTTATCTTAATAAGACTAGATATTTAATTAGAAGCAAAGCCATTGATAGCCTTAAAAGTATTTACTTCAATTTTGAAATTAATTCTCAATTTAACAGGTAACCAGTGCAAAGAACGTAAAGCTGGTGTTATATGACAGAATCTAGGAACAATGCAAACTAACCTGTTTGCTGTATTTTGAACTCTTCGCGGGTTATTTTAAATGAATGTCGGGCACTCTGAAAAGAAGGCTATTACAATAATCTATTCTTCCATTCCTAATGCATGAACTAATATTTCCGCAGATTCTTTAGAAAGATATTTTCTAATGCACCTTAAATTATGTAAAAAATATGGATGTTATAAGAAGTTACATGTGAGTTTAATGGTGAAGTGCCTCTGTCCACCCAAATATATACCAGCACATTGTCAGAAAACCTGACGAAAGGGGGGGAGGGGTAACTCTCGACAGATTAGAATCCCGTGTGGAAGCGGATGGGGGGGGGGGACTGGGGTTGGTATTGCTTCTTGTTGCCATCTGGCACAGAAACTAGGGATCAACGTCAATATCTGGGCAACTGCGCACCTACCCTTCCCCTAACCCAACTTTAACCCTGACTTTTTAATCAGTTGACAGTTGTTGGACAAGGGGAGGGGTAGGTGCGTAGGTGTGGTATCATCTCGAGCGGTGTGTCAGTATCCTTACACAGAAGAATATATCGAGGAATAATTTCTCAACCCATGGCAATGTTATAGGAGGTCGATAATGAAAACTGTCCAAGTGATCATTCTTGGATAAGACTACCCAAAATGGCTGCATTTTGTTAAATTCTCCGCACCTTAAGTCAAAGAAAATAGGCGGAAATCTTTAAGGAGGATGCTCGTTTCTTATTAGGTGGATGGAACTTCTGGCTCGTGCAATAAAAGCTGAGGGAATCGAGGAAAAAAATCCGGAAAGTCAGGAAAGCAGTGAGACTGTAGAAGTCACAGTGATTTGAGCCGTTCGATATAAGTAGTTTTAAAATATTTAACAACAGGATAATTTTATTTCAAATGAGGAGTTTTAAAACATCCGTTCCCCTAACTAGGTAGTAATTCTAAATAAATTTATTTCACGCTCATAATTTTCCCCAAAATTTATGAGACTTTTTAGCCCATACGAGACATGATCAAATTATGGAATATTATGGGATGCTTTCAAGAGCCAGTAGGTTAATGGAAGGCACAACTAATATGCCAAATATAGTTATATTTTTCTAGATCCCTACATAGCATATTTTGTACATGTAACCCTCGTTCTCTCCTCACTTTTAAAACTGAAAAAAATAGAGATGAGGTTTTTCTTTCAATAACATCCTCTTATGCATAGATAAATCTACAATCGGCGTAAAAATTATCGACACTGACCTGTTCAACCCCCAATTAGTTAAATTTTATCTGATTTGCCCTTGTTAAGTTTCGCCCACTCCCTTCCCCCCCCCCCCCCCCCCAAAAAAAAAAACAATGTTGCATCATGATTCCGTGAACTTTAAGCTACATACAGGCATCATCTTTGTGTGGAAAGGGGAATACCGCTTACTAACTGATTTCGAGTTCCGTATTGTAAGTTACAAACCGAGTTTTTTTCCGAGCGGAGAAAACGAGGTTAAAAAGCATAACTTGCAGTACGGTCCGAGAAAACGAGGTTAGTAAGATGAATCTGGGTTCAAATAGAGGAATAGAATTTAATTTCAAACAAACTTTTGAACTTAGCGCGCCGTTTGTAGAAATACGGCCTGCTAAATTGACCAATCAGAGCGTGTGTACTAACTGAAAGATGTACTTAGTTTTCCTTGCGTCGAGAGATGTTCAGATGTTTTTAAGAGCTATTGTAAAGAATTGAAATTGTCGAGGCACTATAAGAATTTTTACTAAGAAAAGTGTCTGTAGTTAAGAGTGGAGTTATTTTCCCTATATGTTTTTGTAACATGGAATTTTTTGTATGCGAAGGAAATATAATGCTTTGTTACTTACTTGATTGTTGTATGTCTTCATTATCGATTGGAGGAGATTACCTAAGGGGGGATTGATGTAATGTTTTTCTCATTTTGAAAAACTCAACGTTTTTATAATCCCACCACGAGTTTTCGGAATTTCTAAAAATTTATATTCTTTTTCTTCGAAACCATCATTGAGTCACAATAAGGCTATTCCTAAATTTGCAGCTTCGATTTCAAACACTTCGTCCTGCTGAACTGTCCCTACTTTATCCCGTCATTGCCGAGCGTAGGAAAGTGCAGGTGAAGTGCAAGATAAGCACGAGGAGATTGCGGGGAGAGCGTGGCAAAAGTGCGGGTACAGTACAATTGAAGTCTCCGGATAAATTCGGATAATTTACGAGAAAAGCGCGGTAATAGTGCGGGTTACTTACGGGAAAACCGCGATCAACGTGCGGGCAAACTGCAGGTAAAGTTCGAGTAACTTGCGGGGGAAAGCGCGGTAAGGGTGAGGCGCGGGAAAACTGTGGGAAAGTGCGTAAAAAGCGCCAGGAAAGTGCGGGGCAAAAGCGGCAGATAAGTGCGAGAAGAAGCGGTTTACGTGAGGAGGAAAGCGCGTGGAGAGCGTAGGGGGCGGGAAACACGCGTGAGGGGCGAGAAACACGCAAAAGGACCACGTAGAACTAAACGAAGCACTGATTCTTAGTCACAAGACCAAGACCAAAGACCAAATCAAGCACGTCAGATTTTATTTCACTTTACCATGGTAATTGGCAATCTCACGAACAAAATTATGCTTCGTCTTCCGGCACGCACTGCCTTATTGGAAAGGGAATCTTGACGATTGGAAGTGTCACATGGGTCGTGGTTTTGCAAACCAAATGTTCCTGACAACCGCACTTATGTACGCTCTAAAAATTAAACCAAAGAATATTGTCTGGTCAGGAAAACAGATCTGTTATTATGGCGGAATACACGAAGAGTCTCCAGGGGGTGTAGGTCGGGGGATTGTGAAAGCCTCTTTCCTATCGAATGAGTTTTCAGAGGTCCATTTTAACTGTTGAAACCGTATTTTAATCTTTCTATAGTTCACATTTAACGAAGCCCACTTAAGTTTTCACCCTTCCAGAGCGTCCAAAACAACATTGACTTGTTTTGGAGGTTCGACTAAGCTGTGGAAGTTGGGTCAAAGTTACAATTTTTTTTGAGGAAAGCAGCTCTACCTATCATATGGTTGAAGTTGACGGACAGTCCTCGGAAGGGGGGCCCTTGGGGACTGTAGATTCCACTTTCTTATGTTGCTTTCTCATTGATCCAAACCGATTTTACCTCAGCTCACGAACCTGTCTGTTAACAGACCTCAGTTTGTTCTCAGATCACGTGGAAACGCATTAGCATCACAGGGAGCACGCCTGCCATCCAAGAGCGCTTCATTACAGTCAAAGCCAATGTGTTCAAAAGATATATTACAAGTAACCAATAGGAAACTTAGAGTTAATACAACAACCACCACACGGAACAACCTGAACCGCGGGAAACGCAAGTGATCAACCGCTGACCAATAGTTTTGAATCTGATTACAGTGAGAAAGATACGCAAGGTATCTGGACCAATCACAGAGGGATGTTGAAAAAAATCAAAGCAATCCAATATTTCTTTCAACATTTCATTACCATTTAACTATTCACACTTGCTACACCTACCCTGAGGTAACAAGTAAAATATTTCAGCAACTTCAGGCTACATCGTTTGCTAAACAGACAGCAGGTGTTTGGCCAAAAACAGTCGGCTGCCGTGGTGCATTTCTGAAATCAAAGTTAAATAGAAGCAAGAAACCACTATTAAGAAATTCATACTTTTGAAGAAACTACAGAATTTGTTATGTATCCAACAAAACAGCATCATATGGTAGGATAGAATTTTGGCTGCAATCACGGTATTAAGATTTCTCTATTCAAGTTCTCCTTAGCGCTTCATAGAAAGAAAGAAAAATTCAAATCTTCGCCATAATAGGTCCCCCTTATCTCGTACCCAGATCCTACCGTGCAACTGAAATTTTAAATCCTACTATGTACCATCGTTTGGCCGAAGAAGATCTGGGTACGAGACTTAAGTCCCCCTCGTCTGACATAACAGTTGTTGATCCAGGAGAAATGAAAAGGAAAAACTTGCAAGGACGAAGTACCAAAATTAGTTTCCTTTTTCTCCTGATCATTATTTTTTCCTCACCTTTCCAGGATAAAATCTTGCTGCCGGGTCCAATGCTGCACTGCCAGGATCCAAAGTTTCATTAACGTCATATTCTGTTAGTTTTTCGACGACGATCGGCTCATTGACCGGCATGCATTGCTTTACCTCAGCTGTTTGTTCTCCCATGTCAATTTCCCGAGTTACTTTGCAGGCTAATCCCGGTGCGCAACTGCAATGGGAATTTTCCTGAGCATGAGAAAAAGGAAAAACAAAAGAAGATTTACGTTAGAAGCTTTAGAACAAGGCGATATCCTCGCAAATTTCAAATTTTGAATGAATCTGAGACTCACCATAGTTTCACAAGCTGAATACTTTGGCAAATTGGAGCAAGCCTAGAAAAGATAAAAAGTTTAATTTCTACGTAAAAAAAGTTTTAAACCATCCGCCTCACTCTTATCTAGATCAGGAATATCGTAATTTAAACCGGGATTCAATCCAATTTTGATCATCCACTTTATAATTGGAAATAAAAAAGACAGATTAATTTTTTTTATTCTTCGTTTTGTTTTGTTTTACCGTTTTTTGTCAGAGTGTACATAAAATTTTTATGTTAACTGCGCTGAAATTCCCCTTGTCATTTCGCTTTGGTTTTTTTTTCTTTTCTTCCTGTCTATATCAATACATCAGCTGTTCTGCTTTGCATGCGAATAATTTGGAGTTATTCAAGTTGAATTACACGAGGGCATTTGGTTTCATTGCACTGCTTAGCGTTAACGATAGCTACCGCTAAAATATGACATCTTGAACCCTTTCACTCCCAAGAATACAATAGTAAGTCTCCTAACTATCTGCCATACATTTCTCGCGACGTTAGGTCGGAGAATTTGGTATTGGATCGACTAATAATCCCCTAATTGATATATTTCTCCGTTCTTATCCCTTATCTGCTTGACATTGATATTGCTAGGATAAATTCTCTTTCGGTCACTCCTTTGAGTCAAGGGGAGCCAAGAGATTGCTTTAGAACGTTCGGTTTCTGAAATGAAGCAAAAAAACTATCGCTGCTAATCAGCACAGACAACTTACCACAGACAACGAAAAAAACAGAGTTAGGACTGCTAAGCTTTTCATTTTGAGTGCTTGAATCTGATCGAAATGTGAATTTTTAGGATTAAAATAAATTCAGTCTTAACTGGATAAATCTACGGTTCGCTAGGTCAGTTATTTTTATACTTTTTTGTCACGTGATGGGGTATTTTACACAACGCCATTGAGAACCTGTTTTACAAGCTTTTGAGTGAAAACTGCTAGATCATGTCAATCTAATAGGGGACATGAGAGAGACTCAGGGCTTTTATAAGCCTTTTCAAATAAAAGGAAATGTAGATGTATGCCTTACGCAAAAAAATTATTTGCCTACAATTGAAAACATTGCTAATGTCTTTTCGTGTATTAGTTTTCTTTTTGAGAAATTAGTGGGGAGGGCATATAACTATGATTCAATGCTATGAATCTCTAAGTGGCCGTTGATAAAACATAAAACAGTTTTAATTTTGGTTATGTTTTCAAAGCAACATCACTATAGACTCTTCGTAGTAGTTAAACTTACCAACTCTTAAAAATGTTATAGATTGTTAATTCAGCCTGTATCCTGTTTGCACGAATTTAAATAATAATCACAGTCGTAAAAAGCTTGTAAAATACGTTCAGCAACTGTGAAAACACGCCACAAACAAGAAACAAATATATTTAACAATCTAATAGAACCCTTGAGCAGTTTTTGTCGTTATTGAGTAGTAGTAACACTTTACAGCACATCTAAGCAAAGTGTCTCCGATCTGTTGGCAGCTTTCACTGTTGTATCCTCAAAAATGTTTGAACAAGCCATTGGAGGGAGAGTTTGGATTTATCAACTGAGTTGATAATGTAAATTGGCCACCGTAAAGAATTTCCATATTTGACGTTTCGAGCGTTGGCTCTTTTGTCAGAGCGAAAAGAAGGCTTACGCTCGAAACTTTTTGCGGTGGTAAATTTACATTCTCAGCTCAGTTGATAAAACCAAATCATTTTGTAATACCGCCCAGCGACGCAGCATCAAATTTTCTGCAGAGCCTTAATCCCTTTCTTTACTGGTGAGAGTGGTTGTTCAAACAATATTGTGTAATTATTCATGCCTTGCACTAAATAACGTACTTCAGCCATTACGATTCTTAGGTTCCTTTTCGTGATAGGTTTTAAGCATCTGATTGGCTGACAAAGTAGAGTGAGTCTCTTGACTTAGCATATGGCGAAGAAAAGCGTAGCAAAATCAAGGAAATCCCGTATTATTTTTGGCCCTCGGTTACTATCAGTGTGAACCATACTGACTAGCATCTAATTTCTCCTTACAATATCACCCCTGAGTCACACATTAAGGTCACGAGAATAAGGGATATGATCACCAACTAAGCTTTTGATTGTTAAACAAATTCTCGTTGTTCACACCTTAGGAAATTTATAGAGAACAGTATGGAGACTATGCATACTAATGTTAACGTGTACAGGGTTAAAAAACTGAGAATGGGGTGTTTCAAGATTGAAGGCAGCCAGGAAAAGCACGTAATCATACTTGTTAGCACTTTGGAACGATGAACACAGAAATTTTCCACACTATTTTTAAATATTAACTGTGAAAGGGTGATGAAAGCTGGGAAACGTATCAAGCAAAACTAGTTATATCTTCAAACGACCCATAGTTTAATTCTGATTGTCGAGGAAAGCTTGGATTCGTTTAGCAGCTTAAGAAGGTTTTAAACGATGCCACGTAGCACGAATTTCCCACCGACTGACGTCTCCCTACCCTACCCCACCCCCCACTTTTCTTACCCCCCCTCCCTTCCTGATACAGACCATACGGTATGTGGATCTAACTCTCGCCTGTCGTTAGCTGATACCAGCTGACAAAGTCATACTCTAAATAAGATCTGTTTGAGGTTTTCAATGAACTTTTATTCCTTCGTTTGATGTTACAGACTTTACATTACTAATTAAAAACTACTTTTTCTGTAACTTTGATGTAACACTTTTGCTCAAAGGCTTACTCGGGCTTCACGCACTGTTTGATAGGGATCTTGATCCCGAAAGGCAATCGGATCGTGGTTGTTACTTTGCAGGTCATCCCATTACCGCATCCGCAATTGTGCTTTTGCTAAGGTTAAAAGAAGAAAACAAACAATGAAAATGAGAAGCACATACAGATTGTGAAATTATAAAGAAAGATCAAAAGACTAGATGTTATTTGTTTCGTCACAAGACAAAAAGTGTTGAGGTTCCCCTCGGTAAATTGAGCCAATTTGCTCTACCTATTGAGCTACAGAAAACGCCATATTAAGCTAAGTCGTATTTCAGGCTTGCTTGTGAACTACTTTCGTCAATGTAGATGGTCTCCATGGGGTTATCGTTCGCCTTAAAATGGCCAAAATATTTAGTCGTTAGGCATCAACTTTGACAAATTTTAACCGTTAGCCGTAAAAAAAGTTAACCGTAAAAATTTATCTTTTAATCAAAAACGAAGGAAGTTAACCGTTAGCCGTACAACAGCCAAAATTTTAACCGTTAAATGTAGTAGCCATCATCCCATTGATACCCTCAATATACTGTGCCAATATTGTGACCAACATCTTCACAACACAATCACTAACATGGTAAAACTATTGTGACTTACGTTATAACAACACTGGTTTTTTATTAACAATACATTAACCCTGTCACTAAAACCAAACAAAGAAGATTCTATATCGTGAGGCAAACGAAAATGCTTATCTTTCCAACCACTCACCCCCATGAAAATCACAGACTTATTTATATAGAAAATATTGTTACTAACCACAAGATAGCAAGTGAAGAACTCCCCAAGTTTCGGAGCACAACGTTTGCCAAAGGCACAGCAGTAGTTGTCCTGACATTCAGCCTCGGAGCTGCAACGCTATAAAAAAGCAACATGGCGTGAATAAAAATTTGTTTCGGTCTGAGAAGATCAGTCAAAAACTCTATTTTTTTCCTATCTTTTATGGAGAATTTGGCCTCGCGTGGTCAACCTTCACAGTCCCAATTCGATCTCCATAGAAACATCAAAGGAAAACGACAGATAATTGTTGGAAAGAAGATAAAATTTCGTGTGTCAAATTGTGAGAAAGAATAATGCCTGAATCGAAAATAACCTTTGGAGTGAGGTCCATTCTTATAAAGAATTTTCAAGTCTCTTACACTAACCTTCTTTTGGTGATGGCTAATTGAAAGAATTAATTTGAAATTCGAAGTATTTTAGGGACTGCGGTATCGTGACCAAGGAAGGGATGGGTGCTTAAACGATGCTGGTAGTTCAGGCTTTTACGCAGGTGCGGGGCATTTTTGTAAAAATTGCATTTTATTTTTATGTAAATTTGGGAGACATCGCTCTCTCACCCTCCCCCCCTCAAGCTTCTTCCCCCTCCCCCCCCCCTCGCTTCCTAGAACCTCAGTCCTTTAGGGCAAAAATAAAGGTGATTAAAATTCTTACGTTGAATAGAAATCGTTTTGTCCTCATGGGTTCGTCTGCAGACTGATTATCCAGATCAACCTCTTCCACCTCAATGTCCATTCCTTCTGGCATGCACTGTTTCACAGGAATAACCTGTCCATTGTAGATCATGTTCTTAGTTAACATACAGGACAAACCGGCTTGGCAGCTACAGTCTCCTCCGCCCTGAAATAACAAAAAAACACATCTTAACGTCAACTGTGATCTATTACTAAACAGACCCACGGCAACATGGAATGAATTTGTTTTATAAGATAAAAAAGCAAAATGCTATACGTCTGTGGGTAAAAACCAACCAAAACGTGTGTATAATTCAGCTTATCATATCCAGTCCATTCTTTCTCATGTATACACATAATTTTGTGTTTGTTATTTTGTGTAATCTTTTAGTCCTTTGAAGCGTTTTTTCCTCCACGCCTTCTCGTGACATCCTCTTCATGCCAAGACTGTGTCTTTTTTTCATTATGACACAAATTTTTATTCTTCTCTGATACTTTCAACCACCCAAACAATCTGAAAAGCCTCTAGTACCATTCAGTCACCTACCGCTGCAATGTTGCAAGCCGCTAATTTGGGAAGATTACCGCATCCCTAGAGGTAAAGAACAAAAGCAAACCATTCAGTTAAACATGATTTTATGAAAGATTGCCTTGTACGTACCAACTTCTAACGCTATGTTATCACAGAAATATCTTTCTTTCTCATTATTCGCGCATACATGGCATGTATCCAAGGGGAGGAAATCGAAATTTTGGACACATCAGAAAAAAGAAATAAAACATTTACTTCTAATAACACAAAAAAGTAACTGCTGTGACGCCTCCAACAGAATTGTTTCAAAACCTCTCCCGCTTTAGGAGAGAGAGTACATTCCCCTTACTGGAAATATGTATTGAAGATCCCAGAGTTGATTAACATACAACGTCTCCCTATAATATCCTTACATTATCCCGCAAACAGGTAATGAGAATTCTCAAACTTATCAGGCAGAAGTTGTTATCTTGGTCTACATGTAGCACCAAATTCTCGTTAATAAATTTCAAGGAAATGTATAGCAGCTAGAGAGGAAAATTGACAACGGATCTTGAGAGGTAACGGGTTAAGAAAATTAACCTAATTATTTTTGCAAGTTGCTGTGAGCTTACCAAAGCAGCTGTAGCGCAAAAACTCAAAATGATGAGAATCTTCATGACTTCAGTGAAACAATTTATAGAAATTCTCAGATCCAAGTAAACTTCTGGTAAAGTTGAGTGCTGTGATCTGCTGTCTTGTCTCTTTTATAGCTTTGAGGCACATTGAGTAAGTAGTAGGTTTTACAACATTACTAATAATGTGAGTGTCTTTAAACAACACGTTCAAACAAAAACTGCCCATGTAAAATAAAAATTAGCTTAGCTGTTTGTTGAAAGGATTAGAGAAAACATGCAGAGCCCATTCTGAAATATTTGCAATATCTTCTTTTGAGCAGAATAAACATTTTCTGCCCTGAATGTTGAAAGCTACGGCAAATATATCAAACACAATTACAATTCAGTTACATTCCTGCCTTAAATTTTCATGGTGAATTAGAAAGTGACACAAAAGAAACCATTTGTCATGGAGAGAATTTTGAATTTTTGACAGAGTGCGCTTCAATAATCAATTGTTTGTATGCATGGAAAATTTTCTATAATCTTTTTTTCTGGTACAAATTTCTCAAATTGGCCGCTCTAAGATTTCTAAATACTTCAATACGACTTGTGGGTGTGTTCACAGTGTATGTCTACAAACACAGCTCAACCAACATTATTGCATTAAGTTGTTAGTGCTAGAGTAAATAATAATGCGTAAGTGTCTATTACAGGAGGCTGAAAAAGTCCTTGGACAAATCTTCGACGAATGGAATAATACGAGGAAAGTCTATTGTTTACACACAGGCAAATTATGGCCTTTTACACGGCGAACATTTCATAACCATTGAATGATATAAATCTTGAAGATTTCATGAGACGTTTGGTCTTGTCAATTAATGTATCTACGACCTTTTCAGCTGCTTGACATAAAATGGAGAGCCAATTTGTTGGACGAGACCGTGAATTTTAACTCTTATTCCCAATATCTTCAGTAATTCTCCTTACTGTCTGTCATACCATTCTTATGATGCAAGCTTTTGAGAATTTGGTATTGGATCAACTTCATGTACGTTATTTGAGATGTAATTTGCCACGAAAAGCTTTCTCGTGTTTTTTTAATCCTAGTTGGAACCCCTGCCTGATTAAAAATCAAAATATCTAGTGAGTGCGCTTTTCTGTTACACATCTGCTCCTCTATTTCTTTCGTTTATGCAGCAAACTTTACTTCCCAGTTTGCTTTGATATCAACACCTGTTCCTCATTTTCCTAACCAATTTTTAGGTCCGAATGTGCTGTCATGGTAACGAGCGATGATGTCATAATCTAAAATATACGTTTTCTCGGCTTTAATTGTATTTGGAGAGAATTAGTTAAAAAGTTTTCAGAACTATATGACTGGTATCCTATACAAATTTATTATTTTCGCCTTTAGTTTGCTAAACGAAAAAAAAATCTCGATCGAGTTCTGATCTTAGGCTGCAGGTCAATAAAGTGTTCTAAGTAAAAGAGTCTTTGTTAATAGACTTCAGCAAATAATTTTCCAAGTCATTTTGAAGACTTTCTTTATTTCATTCACTTAAATGCTTCTAAGCGTTACATGTTTAGTTTTGTCTTCCCATCTGATGATTACTTTGTCTCGATCAAGAGGCTGGTACGAGTTACATGCACTGCCTCAGGGCAACCCTGATCCCAGTCAGAGGAATGGTGAAGGAGGCTGTTTCGGTACAAACCAGGCCATCAAGGCAACCGCACTTGTGAAGGTGCTGGAAAAATAAATAAGACAATGATAATAGTTATGATTATTATGATAAAAAATGGTAATAAAAACGATAATGAAAATGATAAAATGATAAGTATTGGTAATAAAACGATTTCGAGTGCAATTTGGTGTAAATAAGCACGAGCAAAGGTTTTTCAAAGACAATAAAATTGCACGAGCCTGTGAGGCTAGTGGAATGTGTAATCTTTGAACAATTTATAATTGCTTCTTTACACCAAATTGCATTCGAAATCATGTTATTATTTATAAATTATTTACATGAGAAATCATGATAAAGACGGACTCTGAAAATATTAACAAAGATAAGAATAGTCTCAACGAGATTGTAACTCATATCACCCACGTTTTTGCTCATACTATGCTTGGTCTATACGAAATAATGCCAACCATCATTTTTATACTAACCGTTAAATAACATGTGAAGTACTTCCGAAGTTTTGGAGCGCACCTTTTGTTGAACAAACAACACTGGTCTTCTCCGCAGTCAGTTTGAGTTGTGCATCTCTGTTTTTACAAAGTAATAGTCACATTCATTCAACTCGAAGTTTAGGTCAAGAACGAACTATGTCTTTATCATAAGTGAATTTAACAGATTTAACATTCCTTAATCTTATAGAGCAATTAGACACAACTGAAACTGTAACTACTCGCGACTCGTACACGTGCTTTGTACATGCTTTCCGTGTGATTTTCATGTGCTTTTCACGTGCTTGACGCTCGTTCAGTGTAATTCCTGGCCTTCCCTTGTTTTTTTTAAAGCCGTTTTACAATCTTAAGAGGAAAAGACTCAACTGCGAAGTATGACTCTATATTTAATATAGTTAATTCAATCCAATCCGTCCTACCTTAAGGAGTCCATTAAACAAAAAGCGTTTCTTCTTCATGGGAGCAACGGCACCTTCCTCGTCAAGATCGACTGTTTCCACTTCAATCTCCATCCCCTCTGGCATGCACTGTTTGACGTCTGTCATTTGTCCTTGGTAGATCAACTTTTTGGTCAGAACACAGGACAAGCCGGTTTGACAGCTGCAGTCTCCCTCCTGGTAGAAGAATCACGTGACGTGAGTGTAACTAATGCGATATGAACAGACACGCCCGCACTAACAGCCTCTTGGACAAAAATACTGTATCAACCTTGAGGCAGAAGCTTAGGTGGCGGTGGGACGGGCTGTGGTGCCCCCTTCCTGCTTCACGAAAATTTGAAAGGAAGAGCCCCATCGCATCACATTTTAGTTTTGGTCTAATTCAGTTGTTAAGACTAGTGGCTGGAGTTTTCTGGACTAATCACCAAGCAAACTTTAAACAGAAGCAAGGACTCCCGGAACACTTTTGATAACTCAATTAAAATTTTCGCAGTCATACGAAGTTACTATCAGTATTATTACCATAAATATTAATCAACGCCCTGAAAGATAAGATTTCGGCTCACCTCTCTGTTGCAAGCTGCAAGTTCAGGAAGATTTGAACATCCCTGAAAGAAACAAATGCATCTTAATTGGCTCTCCAAATAAAGTTCGCAAAACGCGTGATTTGGTTGGAAATATGAATTAATAGTTCTCTTCATTCTACTGAAGAGGAAGGATAGACTATTAAACCCGTCGAAATGAAACGTTTCAACTTTTGAAAACTCACCAAAGTGAGAGTGACAGAAAGGCTCAGCAAAATAAAGATCTTCATGGCTTGAGTTTGAGTGAATGGAAGAATCGCTCACAACTGAGAGGCTATAGTCTTGATGAAACAAATTGTGACTAGAGACCCTTGTGCCCTGCTTTTAAAGTTTTCGAGAAAAACCCTGAAGTGGTATGTTTTGTAGTTTACTCAAGGACTACAAAGCGGGGATAAGTATTTTAAAACATCAAGTTTAAACTAAAATGAAATGAAGCTTGTTCAACTGCGTGGTGTGTAAAGCACTTTGGGAGAACGTATTCTGTTTGTTAGTGTTGGGAAATTGTGTATGTTCGCAAAATGCGTCTCTAAACAATGCAAAGTTGTTCAGCTGCAATGCCACCTCAGTCGTGTGTTATTTGTACTCAGTCCTCTTAGCTTTACACACCAAAACTTTGTGTTGAAAGGTACAATAGAAAAACGGGGAGAAATGTGTTGGCGAGGGGACTGAGCAGAGTTTTAAAACATTGTTTGCCAGACGCACTTGCTGAGGAGTAGGCGTGCAGCATATACAGCAAAACCAGTGGTTGAGGGGGCTGAGGGTGGGGGTACTCCTGGATATTTTAAGTGGAGGCGGGTATGCTGCATGCTTCATAAATCCTCTACTCTATTTCAGATGAAAAAAAGAAGTTTTTTGCTCCATTTTGAATGTTTTCATAATAAAAGTTCTATTTCTTAAAAAAACTTTTCCTTCTTTTTAGAGAACGTTGTACACTCCCTTTGTTTGGTGGCAACAAATTTTCGTTTTCATTTTTATGCTGTAAAAATGAAAAGATAAAACTATACAAGCCAGATACGAAGACAAGAGAATGTGAATTGATGTATCCCATTGAGCAAGTACCGTTTACATCCTTATGCCCAAACTTAAATCTCGTTTCATAGACCTTTTGAATGCTGTTTTCGACAATGTTCACGGAAGGTTTGATGATCACTACTTTAAAGATATTGGTGGTCAGTATATTTTCTGTACCAAGAGTTAAAGGAAAAAGCAGATGAAGACATTTAGATTACTTGACATTACAAAAAAAAAAAAACCTCCTCGATATGGATTGATACTTTGAAAAAGTGCAGTCCGTGGATTTCGGTATTTGGCTTAAACAACCTTTAGTCGGTGCAAAGGTTATCGTGCAAAGGACTCTTTTTTCCAATATACAGATGTGTTTGTATAGCAGAGGTGTCGAGTACTACCTTACAATGTTAATTTTGTCTTACGACACATGAAATAATACTGTTATGCGCGGACACGATGCAAAACACTTGTCTGACATCAACGGTTCCAAACGCTTACGTTTCGATGACCCTTTCGTTGTGTGCGTAACAAACAGTTGGAAAAACACAATGTTACATTAAAAATTTTCGTTTACACACGATGTTTAAAGTACTCTTGCTTTTGAATGATTCCTGTGAAAATGCTGTCCTTCAGATTGTTTTAAAAATAGTGAAGTATAAAAAACAACGTCTCAGTCAGAATGCCCCATTAGAGTGTGAACTAAATCTTTCTATACTTTAGGCTCTTCCAGTCAAGCGGGGAAGACATGAAGACTACTGTCCTGATTTTTAGCTTAAGCATTTCACTTGCTTTGGTGAGTTTCGAGGAATTTATGATATATGTTTCTGCATCATCTGTTAAATCAATTTTAGACAAATACCGCTAAAACTGAGCTTGATTCTATCAAACTGCATCAGAATATTTGTAAGAAAGACGCGTTTTTTTCTTCTTTACTAAATCTCTAAATAATTCATTTTTAAATACTTTATAAAGATTCAATTAACGTTTGAACTCTGTCCATTTTATCTTACGAAGTCATTCGAGGAAAAACTAGAAAAAAAAAACCGATAAAACGAACTCTTTTTGAAACTTGGGCAAACTTGGAAAACGGTTATGCTACTTGTTCTGTTTTGGTTGTTGTTTTTGTTTGATCCTGGTTGGTAAATTTCCCATTCCAGTCCCTCCACATACTTATTTGTACATATTTATTAATTTACAGGGATGTTCAAAACTTCCTGAACTTTCAGTTTGTAACAAGCCGGTGAGTAAACATATAAGTCAGATGAAATTAGATTTTTCAATACCATTAAGGCTAGGGTTGTCTTTTAGAAGTCTGTTAGCTTCAACTCTTAGGAACTTACCAACAATTCTATCTCGGATTACGTTCATATAGTTGTCACGAAGAGATCTGTATTTTGAAGCGTCCTGCCCAGTAACACCATAAAAAAGTAAATCCTTAGCGACCCAGGTTACAATAGTTTTGCGCCATTTTTCTGCGACTTATAATTGTACCTTCAAAGTGCAAGACAACAAAAACCGATGCCTCCAAGATAGAGAAACAACGCAAGGCACAGAAAAGGCCTTCCTAACACTCTTTCTTCGTTGAGCTCGTTCTTCATACGACGAACGATATGTCGAGTTCCTCTTGAAGTATAGGTCATAAGCTGAGATTCTTTTTGTTTTCTTTTTTTCTCTCGCATCTCCTCTTCTGTGCCCAGGAAGGAGACTGCAGTTGCCAGGATGGTCTTTCTTGCATTCTCACCAAGAAAGTGATAGAACATGGAATCGAGACTCCCGTCAAGCAGTGCATGCCGGGAGATGTGGATATCGAAGTGGAGTCGATCGACCTTGATAACCAGGCAGCGGATGCACCCATGAGGATAAAGCGCTGGCTATTCTTCAACGTAAGTTTGAAACTTGGCTTGAACGAAAACATTTGGAGTAGCGCTAATTCGTCACGAAATTTTCTTTGCTTCATGAATTAGAGATGCCTCACCGAAGAAGATTGCAGTTACAACAGATGCTGCGCTTTCAATAAGCGATGTGTTCCAAAACTCAAGAAATTCTTCACCTGCGTTTTAACGGTAAGTGATAACTTTAATAGGATTTTTATTCCTTACGTATTGAAACCGGTCAAATTTTATCTCCTGGGGTGGGGGGTAGAGAATGTTTGGGAGGATCACATGGTTTTCAAGGGGAAGGGAAGGGGGATCAATCGTCACCAATAGAAAACAAACTAACAAACTCTCTTACTCTCCCCCTCCCCCCCTCAGGCAATAAATTATAACTGGTCGCTGATAATTTTGGCTTCTCTGTGGAATTCGTTCTCTGCGCGAAGTCTGGGTCGAGTAATCAGCAGAACGCGTTCTTTATGAGTTTCTCTCGCGTTTGGCTTCACAATTTACAATATTGATCCTATGGTAACAAGGTTCATAGCAACTACAACAAAATGTTTCCTCCTTAAACTTGTGATGTAATAGAATTATGCTTTTTGTTTGTTCTGTAGGGCATACATAAGTGCGGCTGTGCAGATGGACTAGAATGTAAGGAGACTGCTCACATCACGCTTCCTATCACAGGAACGAAGCTCTCCCTTAGGCAGTGTATGGATGCTTAAAATGGCGCTTGGCTGGAGTTGTGGATGAGTAAACACTGATAGAGAAAATTTGGTTGTTAAACCCAAAATAAATGTGTTAAACCGAAAAAAAAAGGCTGAATATTTCCTTCCCACTGATAGTATGAACTGTGGTTTAAGTTTCAGAGCAATGAAAAATGTTTCGTGCAATTTTCGTTTCTGCACGTGCGCATTTGAGTTTCAACCCAAAATGAGCAAGGGTAATTTTTAGCTACAGTAGCAACTGGAATACCCTTTCAATCTTGTCTTTCGGGCTTCTGTCTTAGCGGAGGAATTCGTCAGAAACCTTTTTTCTCCATAACGCAGATAGAGATAATTTTCAAAAGGGAGCATATGAAGTTTGATAAAGCGATGCACTAATGTGACAGCTGATTAGCTACGCAAACCCATCACTTGACCAAGCATATTTTTATATATGAGAAGGAGGTGTGACTGATATAAATATGAAATTTCTGGCCGCAGAATCCCTAAAAATTCAGAGAGCCGTTCTGTTTTCGAAGGATGGCCTTACATATCATAATCGCTGATCATGAATATTTACATTTAAAATTTTTGATAACAAATAATGTTTCAAAAGTAAACTGTTTCACACATCTGTGCTAACTTACCAAAGATTTGACAAAATTGCCATTAGATTATGTCAACAAAATGGTATTGATCCTCAATTGTTGGACAAATTTGAGCATAAACTGGGGTTGAAAATAAAATAAAATAAAAATTATCTTTGTATCACGAAGTATATTTTAAGTCGGTTTCTTTGAAGGCAAGACCTGAATTTTCCCAGCTGATAAAAGTATTTATTAAATCTATCTTTTAATATTTCTTTTAAAAATTATAGTGCTTGTTTTTCAAGTTCTTGTTTTGTGAAGAGTTTCCTTGCTTAATATTACCGAAGGCTTAAAATGGTTGAGAAATCCACTGGAAATATAAGAATAAACCAAGCGCTCAATTTTCTAACACATTTTAACGTGGTGTAACGAGAAGGTTTGTGAAAGGCGTGTGTTGTGGCAAAATACAACAATGAAGTTATTAAATTATTGCGAGAAAGTTTTGTTGATATATCAAATTACGATAGCTTTTTCCAGGCAGTTGTATAAACTTCATTCCATACTGAAATTTTTTTTCGTTTGAATTTAGTATTTAAAAACAATCGCACAACTTTGTGTTTTGAGACGGAAAGCTATATATACAGTTTTCAGAGCTTATCTCTACCAATTGCGAATTTCTCAACAAGATCAAGCTCTACGTTGATTTCTTCAAGTCAGAAATTATGAAGATTTTTGTTGTTTTAAGTATCTGCTTTGCCCTTGCTTCTGCGGTAAGTTTCCGGATCATTTTATGTCAGACTTTACTAATTGTGAAGCGTAAAACTAATAATTGCTTTAGACTCAGTTCATGATTTTCCCTTTTTTTGCTACAGTATCTGCTGGCTATCTTTAATACTAACAACCGCCAAGATCCGTCCCTTTCACTTTCTATAGTGATGATCGAATAGCTCAGCCTATGATGAACAAATTGTGCGCAAGAATTAATAAATCTAATTTAGACTTTGGAAACCTCAACATTTAAGAAAAAGCAAAATGAACATAGACTTAAATAAATTATCATTACAGATAGATTGAAAAAAAAATTTTTTCCTTTAAGACGCGAAACCTGTAGATTGCAACCTTTTCTTTTCTATCACGTGCTGATTCATATCTAACAACAAAATATTTAAATAGGACTGAAGTAAAATATTTCATTTTGATCTGCTAATTTTTCAAAAGTGCAACAGGTTTTATTGTCAATATAGATATCTGCTTTTGACTTCCACGAAGGGCTAGGCTCGAAACTCTTTACGGTGGCCAAATTATCTCCACAAAAAATTTGTTTGCGTTATCATCATTTTCCAGGCATGTGAAAATCTCAAGAGGCTTGAGGCTTGCAACAATGAGGTGAGTTTGAAAATGGGGGTTAATATCTTAGAATGATAAGTGAATGATAAATGGATATTTATAAATTTGTTCCTTCTTCGGGAAAAAGAAGAAACTGAATTCAGTATGACATTGGTGATGCGTCACATCGCTCTGTGATTGGTCTAAGAAACTCTCACTATCTCCTCAACCAATCAAAACCAAAGGTAAAACTAATCGCAATTTGAACACCTCTGCTTTCCCGCGCTTCAGACCGCTAACAATAAGTTACTTTGATTTCTCATTGGGATATTTTCCTGGGTCGCGAATAGCCGTCGTGGCGCACTGATTTGTATGAATCGGTTCCGCGACACCTGTTCTAATGAGCTTTGATTGCGGTTTATTTTCTCTTCCACAGGGGCTTGATTGCTCTTGCCAACCCGGACTATCGTGCAGATTAACCAAACAAATGATAGTGGATGGCAAAACTGTTCCAGTCAAGCAATGCATGGGAGACGATGAGAAGATTAATATCGAGACCATCAACGTGGACCCCGAGGAGCAGAACAATGCAGCAAACGCAGCTTACAGAGTCAAGCGTTTCTTGGGAATTATCACGGTAACTGGAGCGTAGCTAAGAGGGGTGTCCACATACCACCTCATATGAAATAAATGATCTTCCTTCAGATCATTGCGATACGAAGGAATTGAAACCAGCCGCCTCCCAAGGCGTTCGCAAACACATCCAGGGGAATAAGCGCAAAGTGGATCAGCTCTGGTGACGAGCCTCAGACTCGTACCCAGTCGCTTTTCCTTATTCGTGAAGTGATTGATGGGAAGGATTAAGCGGGCTCGTGTTCCACCGAGGGAATGACGGAAGGAGAAAGCGAAACTGAACCACTTTTTCTCTCTCCTTCCCAAGCGCCTTAGCGCACCCTAATCCCCGTCCCAGATTCCTTTGTGGGTAGAAAAAAAAGTGACGACTAGGTGAAAGTATGAACGAACCTTGGACTCAAGATACCATACCCCCAACCACAAGTTTCGTTCCCAGAGACAGTCGTGTTTCTCTATTGTGCGAGATGATATCGATTTCAGGGGAAGAGAATAAAGATTAAATGACAGTTTACCTTCCAATGGAAATCAAACAACACAAGCCAAAAATTTAACTAATCATTGCTATTTTGAACTGATAAAGACTACATCAACAGCTCCTTTCCTGGAAGAACCCACACTCACTTTGAACGGCACGTTTGACGGTAACTTTTTATTAATGTATGGTAATATTAAACCCAGATCCTACCGTATAATTGAGTATGAGGCTCACTTTTGTTGTTTTGTAAACTAGAAATGTCAATCCGACGTTGATTGCGCCCCAAACTTCTGTTGTCCAATTGTGATCCAGCGCTGTCTCCCGAAAATCCCAGAAGACGGCGCCTGCAACTTCAAGGTACTAAATGCAAACCTGGGCTTTCTTTGCAATCTCTTTAAATCTTCTCTCATCGTCACCCTTAATTGTTAGGGGTCTCACTAGGGTGATGGCTTTTACGGCTAACGGTTATAATTTTAGCAAGTCTACAGTTACGGTTAATCCACAATAACACAAAATGACACATTATACATAGAGAGGAAAACCTATTACGATTAGTCTTTTTCATGACCAACAAATAATCTTGGTTGGCGATTTACAATCTTATATCCAACGCACGCTTATGGTATCATTTTTAAGTCATCTACAGTGTGCACGCACAAATACGACTAGCCTAATTCTAGAATATTTTCGCCTCTGACTTTGATTCGCCTCGTAAATCGCATGAAAAGGTTGTTGGATGTGTTCCTTTTTTCAGGATTTACATCGCTGTGGCTGTATGGATGGATTAGTATGCCAGAAGACTACAGAGATTACAATTTTCCCAGGCATTAAGATTCCTCTTGAGCAGTGCGTCAAGATGTAAACACGTATATTTACGTAGCACCATTAAGTGCTGTAGTAGCTTGAGCAAGAAAAATAAAAATAAAACGGTTCTTTGCTGTGTGTTTCTCTATTTCGCGTCTCTTACACATAGACTGACTTTTCCTAAGTCTTCCCGAAAGGAAGCCTGGGCATAACTGCCTTCTCGTCGTACCCTTTGTCACGTGCGACTGTGACTCGTCCCCAACTCTCTCGCGCTTCTTGAGGCAAACATGGAATGAACGTGAGCTCAAAAGGTTTTCTTTTTCGTGCACTCTATCCCATGAATGTGTCCCCTTTTGCGCTTTTCCTCGAATTGCCTCTTCTCTCTTGCGCCTATAATTTATATTTATTTTTCTCCTCTATGCGCCTATGTCTACATTTTCTTTTACCTTGCGCGCCATCTTTTCATTACGCACCAATCTTGATAGGTTGCCTTTTGCTTTCTTGGGTGACTGTCGTCAATTCACCTGAGGAATTTCTGAACTGAGGAAAAGTTATTTGATTTCATAATTGCCTTTGGGTTACGTCCAGAGTTTTATTAATATATTCATACACTAACTACATCTCCATATATATTTGGGAGTGCTCTACTTACGTATTTTGTCCCCCATTAATCTAGCATTAATCATTAGAACATTAACATGAAGCTAAAACTGTTTGATTTTCTAGCGCAGGCACTGATCTCTTTATTTTTTACACCTATAAGTTAAAATTTGAAATGTAAATAATAATTTAGGGCTTGTACTGCGCAAATCAACATATGAATAGTATCAATGCGCATTCCATAATAATCCAAAAACAAAAACAATATTATGTCAAAAGTTAAGAAAACATATCCCCTTTAAATTTTAGAAATATCAGCTCGGATCTAATATGAAGTACTTTTGAAGAGAATCCAAAATTGGATTTTAAGTGTCCAATAAAGCGCTGTTTTTCATTCTTCACTCACTCAGACCAAGTAGAGCCAGGAACCTAAAAAAGGTAAAATTACTTTGTTTGAAAATGTAAAAAAAAAAAAAAAAAAAAAAAAAATATATATATATATATATATATAAATGATATAACGTTACTTTCCGCCGACTTTACGCCAACTAAGTGTAATAAGCAAGGTTTACAACACTAGGGCCGATTTTACGCGGACAACAATCCTCAGTATACATAAAAACTCACAAACTCACAGTATAAAATGGTACATTCCCACTTTCAAAGCCGTAGCTTATGTAGGATGGGAAGGATTGAGAACGTCTTAACAAGCCGCAGCTTTTACTAGACGCGAAACCACTGGTATTAATGGCATCGCGGCTTAAGTAAGGCGCAAACTTACACTGTGCAAGCGCAATTTTTCCCGCGTTTGGGCGTTTTTCCCGCGCTCGCCACCACTCGCGCAACCGAGAGCCATTTGTAAGAGTACTTCGCAGCTTAGTAAGCCGCGCTCCTAGGAACAGTACACTTCGCGTCCTATGTAAGGTACGAATTATTATCCCCGTATACACGGCAGTATTGACACAGTTATAAAGATTTATATTACAGACATTTTCGGAAGTATTTGTGATGATTTATCAAATGTTATCAGCTTAGCCAGTTTATTAATTGCACTTTTTACGTGACATCGCACGTGACGTACTGCACCAGCTATAGCAGCACGCGTGTCTGATCGCGCGTCTGATCGCGCTTGTCTTGTTCCACGTGTACACCATTCGAGATTTAGTGTGAGGGATTTATTGCCTGAAATGCACAGCAATTTTCTTTGCATTGTGTGGGCTCTATTTTAAAAGTGTTCAGAACCTTTCAGCAATTCCATAACGTACTACTTACCTCTCAATCTTCTCATCTAGCCACGCTTTATTTAGCAAGTTATTGAGCCAAGACTCCGGCAGTTTACTGGCACCCAGTTTACAGCCTAACAGCGCCCCCGCTACAGCGCCATTTGTGTCAGCGTCTCCAGCCTGAGAAGAAATGTAGGTCCGTAATTTAGTGCGTGAAAAAAGAAAATATACAGAACCAGTTAGAAATACGTGTTGATTTAACCTTCACTGAATTTTGCAGTAAATCAAGATTTACGCTTAAATGACTTTCTTATATATATATCAAATAAAATCGCACCAGTATCTTCAAAGATACTCACAAAATTTCTGAGTATCGTGAACATTTTTCTTACAAACTCCCAAAGTTCTCTTAACTAAGTACAGTGGTGGTATGAGTAGTAGATTAAAATATTTTACACATAGAGACACAATATTCGTAAAGTAAGAGGATGTTTCATACTCCCCTTAGCAATTCAGACAAAGTCTCCGTAGAAACTACAATTCATTTACACTCGTCAAAACGATAATTTTTAACAACAAAAATCCAATAAGATATTGATTGCTTCCAGGCGTCAGACGTACCTCAAATGCCACATCCTCTATAGCAGCACGAAAATCATCTTGCCTCAATGACCAAATTCCAGCGCCTAAGCATTTGTAAGTGTAGCCTATTTTGCCATGTTCGTCAAGTTGTAGATTTTTCAATGACTTAGCAAACACGTGCTTTTTCAAACCCTCTTCCTAAAAACCAATTTACGAGACAAGGTCATCACTCTGGTTTTAACCAACTGACAAGCAACGTGCTGATGCTCTAAGTCGCCGGGGGGGGGAGTGGGGGTCGGAGCATATTACCTGATTAACCAATAGCCCTCTGTGACTTGCTTCTTATCCCCCCCTCCCTCATTGGCACTTAATTGGACGTCAATTCTCTACATTCCCCACTTTTAGTTACTCCAACGAATCTCAGAACGCATTTAGAGTAATAATTTCATATATACTTTTAAGTGCCAGAAATAAAAATGAATTGGTTTGGAGAGTACAATTCACATTTAGAGGAACAATTTCAAGAGAGGCCTGAATAGCCGTCACTAAGAAAGCCGAGCGTGAGGTTCGGAGACGCTTTTATAGGCAGCATTGCTTAGGGAAGGAGTGTTTAACTCTTTTCTTACATGCGTACTTCAGGGAACTCGCATCTGTTCACCACAGAACCACGAAGCCTTAGTAGCTGGTAGGAGTGTTTAATTGGACAATGGCAAATTGCACAAATTGGAGTGCATACCCTGGTTGTCTAAGGGCTGAATAAAGCTAGTCGCTCTGACCAAGGGCTACTGCTTCAAACGTCATCTTTAGAGTCTTTAAGGTGGTCAGTTAATTTCATCAACTCAGTTAATAAAACTAAATTACCTTGTTGTACTCTCACACCGACACAGCACCACAGTTTCTTTAGAAACTTACCCCCTTTAAGCTACGGTAACAGCCCGTTAGTTATTCCTTCAATGGGTAGCATAAAGCATTATATGAAAATCAGGATGCGCAACGGTTACATTTCCCACCAGCTTTCACGAGGCTTCTTCGAGGTGCTCCATAACAAATTATCGAAAATTACCTGCTCTTCAGTTTCAAGTGTAGCACTGGCATAACTACAAGCCGTCTCTATCAATGCCTCAACGTCATAGCTTCCAGACTCCTCCACAAAGCACTTTCCTTGCAACATCATTGCAATGGCTGTTGTCACAACGACACAAGACGCAATACATCTTGGGTCTGCATGGGTGACTTTACAAGCCGCCTTGGTGTTTTCTATCACTGCATAAATGTCACCAAAGTTATGGACCCCTAGAATTGAAGTGCGCATGACACCTCCGTTTGGAGCTACAAAGCGACCTGAAGAATCCCAAACGTACTCGGCTGCCTGAGAGCAAAGAGCAGAGGATAAACGATAAGTTTATATGAGAAGCTAAAATTTCCCCTCCCCCCACCCCTTTTCCGTCTCTCCTTCCATTTCATTGTTGAGGCTATTCCTCAACCAGTTGTTAAGTCCATTCCGCAGTTGTACATTTTTCTGTAGATACGTAAGACCATGATGCCTCAGCAGCTTGTTCTTTAATTTTCATCTTTATTTTGTATCAATCGCACATAGTGATGCCAGTTTGCTCTGAAATAGTTTGCTGGCTTGTGTTTTCGAGACCTTTGTTAACATTAAAACCACAATGAGTGACCAACACAGAATTTCTCCTTACAATATCAATACAAAATCAAGCAGACAAGTGATGCGAATAAAGAAAACTATCACTTGGGAGATCATCAGTTGATCCAATACCAAACTCTCAGAACTAACATCATAAGAATTGTATGGCACACAGTAATGAGAGTTACTAAATGTGATCTTGAGGATGAAAGGGTTTATTACTCAGGCCAGGGCAACTTCCTGACTATTTCATGATTATTCATCTGTACCTTGTGTGGATCAGTAAGAAAGTCAGGATGATGTAAAACACGGCGTGTAGTGCTGCCAATTCCCATTCCACCTATATCACCCAGCTCTGGAAAACCCCTCCTGCTCCAATATTTCATTTTTTTGGCAAAATCAAGGGGGACCATCTGCAAAAAATAAAACAGCCAATACTCCCAATCAGTATTCAAATATACTTCACATATTTTATCTTTTAAGGTGGTTTACCTCAGTCACTCTAGAGCTCTTTATGTCTTAGAGTCTTCACTTGGACCAGGGGGGGCCCTTTGCAGTAGAGCTTCAAGATGGACCACATCATCTTGGATGTGGTTTTATTTCGTACACCTAAGTGGTAACCTTTTTTGTTTGGTTGAAGTGTGTGGGCATGTTAATTTCGTCAAACAATTTTACACTAAAATTAGTTTTATTTTACCTTTGTCCAACCTTCCCCAACACTGATTACAAATGTCCATCTCTTATCCCGGTTGTTACAGAATGAGGTGACTAAGAGGATTACTCCCCCTCCCTGCATGGAGGTTTGCAGGATACCCTCTGCCCCCCTCCTAGCATTTTATCAAGTTTCCAGACAGTTTACTGCCCAATATAATTTCTGAGTAGAGAGGGACAATGTGCGAGTGCAATGTCTTGTCCAAGAGCACCCCACACTGATGTCACAAAGGGTCAAACCCAGAGCTCTTGGTCTGGAGCCCAATGTGCAAGCTGCACTTAAACCACAAGGCCAGTACAGCTTCCACTCCATATTCAAAGAAGGTCACTGCAGAAGGATTTAATTTGTAATCAGTTTC